TTGCTAATCTGGCCTCTAAGGAAAAAAAAAAAAAAAAAAGCCTTGTTTAACCCCAGATCTAAGCACTGGTTTTAGTGAGTGGTTTCAGCATTACAGCTAGAGTTAAAAGTACATGGCTCAGCCACTCTTTCTTCAGAAAGAGCTGAAAAGGCTTGGCTTCCGCTCCTTTCTTAAGAAAAGAAGAGGAGAAAATTCTTGGTCTTGCAGGCTGCTGGCAGAAGTGCTGAAGCTTTGTGATCAGTGTGATAGAAGTATGGCACAAATAGTCTGTTGTGGTTTAACCTCAGCTAGCAACTCAGCCCCACTCAGCCACTCACTCACATCCCTGGTTGGGTGAGGGAGAGAATTGGAAGGGTAAAAGTGACAAAACTTGTGGGTTGGAATAAAGACAGTTTAAGGTGAAGAAAAAACTGCATGCACAAGCAAAGTAAAACAAGGAACTCATGGAAACAAGGGGAAAAAAAAGTGAAGCAAAGTAAAACAAGGAAACTCCCATGGGCAAGCAGGTGTTCAGCCATCCTCAGGAAAGCATCTCACAGTAACAGTGAGTTGGAAAGACAAACACCATCACTCCAAACGTCTTCCCCCTTCCTTTTTTGTTCCCCAGCTCTGTATGCTAAGCTTGACACCATATGGTCTGGGATATCCCTGGGGCTAGTTGAGGTGTTGCCTCCCAGCTTCTTGTGCACCCTCAGCCTCCTCACTGGTGGAACAGTGTCAGAAGCAGAAAAAGCCTTGATTCAGTTAGCCCTGCTCACCAGTACTCACAAATAACAAAAAAAATCTCTTATTATCAACATTGTTTTCAGCACAAATCCAAGTCACAGCCCCATACAAGTTATAAGGAAGAAAATTAAGTCTCCCAGCTAAAACCAGCACAGTCTTCCTTTAGATCTTTAGGAGCCAGAAACACAGGGTATGTCTAAGGGCTTGTACTATAAGCTTAATTTTATTTCCTTTTCTCTAGGTTCAGTCAAGCTCTTTCTTAAGTAGATCAGGCTCTTTCCTTGTCAACACTTCAGCAGTTGGTGCATGTGCCCTGTTGATGAGGAAGAAAGAGGATTGGTGAAGGAAGCTCAGCTCATGGCATAGGGTGGAGCATGCCTGGTAGTGGCTATTGTCCTCTCCAAGCCCTTGTTCACTGCAGTTCCTCCTCAAGCCTCACTGTTGCCATTCTCCTCAGCTGGCATTCTTGAGCAGCTTTTCCTAAGACTTCTGTTCCACTTTGGATGCATGTATCTAGATTGTATTCTGCTTTGTGGCCTCAATCTGACAAGCCACACTTGTCATGGTGAGAGCAGCCTGTCCAAAAAGGAGTATTTGGTCACAGTTCAAGTGTTGGACAAGGTGCATGAGAAGGCTCAGGATTTCAAAGCTGTGTGCTCAAGCAAGCTAGGAAAGTTTGTACCTTCCTGGATACCACAAAGGCCAAATGTTTCTGGTTACATCCTAAGTGTTGCTGCAGGTTCCTGGAGTTGTGTTCTCTGCCTGTGTCCCAGGGCTCATCTCCATTTACTGCTGACTAGACAGATAGGTCTCAGACCTGTGGGGGTCAGCTTTTGTGCTGGGAAGTCGATCTCATAGCACAGTGGGAAGCACTTTTTTTTTTTTTTTTTTTGGTTTGATATGGTTTGGGGTTTTTTTCTTATACCTCATCCAATCCAGCATGACTAGAAACAACTCTGCTTTTTAGCACAGATGCTTCTGCTTTTCTTTGCTAATGAGACTAGCTCACCAGGAACCAATTGACCAAATGCTGTAGTCCTCTTGTTTGCTATACTGGTATTTTCTATTCTTGTGCTTTGCTGCTGAGTGCTCTGGGGTTGTTCAGGGAAAGTCCAGCTTATGTCATCGTGACGTTGAGGTCTGTATTTATCCCTTGCCTGTGGCTTGTCTCCAGAGCCGTCAGTGGCCATCTGCCTCAGCCCTGGGCATGGCGGGGCCTGGGGGCTGGAGGAGAGTCAGTGCTGGAAACGCGGATGTCCAAGCTGCTGAGGGCAGTCAGTGTTCTTGCTGTGTGATACATCACAATCTAAAGCATTTGTTCCCCTTTTTATTTAGGGAAGAGAAGCGTTTCCAGTGTTCCCATACAAGATGGCTATATTATAAAGAGTAGGGACATCAGCATTGTGGTGTGCTCAGCAGTAATTGTCACACCCATGGCAGTGCAGCTCCCTGTCCTCACCTCTCATTGTGTGGTGACCTCCAAGGCTAATTCGATCTCCTTTAAGTTACATCCTCAGAGGAGACATTGCTGATAACTCTGCTCCTGAACCCCACCCCACCACCTCTCCGGAGTCCAGCTCAGTGGGCACTTTGTCTTGTTAAGGAGAGATTATTCTGTTGGAAGGGGGTGCTAAACTGGCCCAGGAGTTTCACTACTGCTTGAGCTGCAGTGGTGGTGGTGGAGGATACTATAGGATGTGCTTAAACGAACTGGTCTCCCTCAAGCTGTTTCTTGGACTGTGCACTGTGTTTTGCAGTTTAATTGGAAGGACTTTGAATTTTATAAGCCAGCTAAAATAGTTGAACTCATGCCTTTGTTTAACAGACGAAGGATGAGTAATATTTAGGACTTCAAATAGTTTTCTGCTTTATATTCGTTTGAAACTGCTGGGATTCTTTTGTCTTTGTTTGTGGATAGTGTCCATGTTTAGTAATGGCCCTTTACTTTGAGTTAGTTTGATGAAAAACAGTAATCTGTATCTGAGCTATAAAGTGTGTCTCCAGCCCTATGGAAATCTTCCTCTTTACAAATGTTGCCTCTGAAATGCTGCTTGCCACAAAGTATTTTTTTCTCACATTCACTTGAACGTGGGAAAATGCTGCCTGTATCACTTTCTCTAGAGTGTGTGAGTGCTTACCTGGAGCAGTTGTATCTGGCTTTGGACTCTGTCCCCACCTGATGCCCAGCTCCTTCTCTTGTGTCACAGCCTCAGAATATTTTTGTTTTATGGCTGTCACTTCCTCCCAGGGAGCCTGTGCACCCAGAACTTGTCATGTTGGGGTTTCCTGGAGGTGCTGGGGGACTTGGCAGTGAGCCCAGGATGCTTGGTGGCCACAGCCATTTCTTAGCAGCCCTTAGATGACTGCAGTCCGAGCATCATGTGCATGTCTCCTGAGTGTGACAACTGTCGGTTAAATCTTGTATTTCTAGTGTTCTATGAAGTTTAAACTACAGGAAGGTATGAAGTTGTCTTCTGTATTGTTTGGAATAGCTGAAAGCTCTACTTTAGTCATTGTCAAAGTAAAAAATTGAATTCAAGACAGAGCTGCATCAGGAATGGGAGACTTCAGTCTGTGAAATATTTGTATGGAATCTGTGAAGGGCTGACCTCTTGCAGATGGTGGTACCTTGTTTGTTCTTGAATATTAACTGTGTTAAACCCAACTAAAACATCTATGAGTGTCTGCTGCTGAAATTTCTTCTTGTTAATAAAGCAAATAAGAGGGATGAGAGAAATCCCCAGCATGTTTTTGTTTGTAATCCAGCTTAGGCTCTGAGTGAGTTTGGGAAAAAGACTTTGATGTGAGTTGCTACAGAGAGGGACCGTCTGTGTTGTGGGGTTTTTTCCTTCCTATTTCCTGGCTCCTGCCTTAAAAGCCAGCTAAATATTCTCGTTATTCCCCTTGCACTGAATGTGGCGGTGTGGTCACGTAACCACAAAAGGAAATGTTTTCCATGGGATCAGTGAGATGATTCAACTCAAATGTACGTGCGCTCATACTATCCAAAAACCCAGTGCAAGGAAGCAAGCAGGAATGAGCAGACAAGGAGAGACAAGCATTGTCCTGTGGTGGGGAATTTGGGTTAGATTGGGATAGACGTGTTTTGAAGTATCACCCCTTCCTTTGAATCTCTTGAGCTTCATCTCTGACGTGGCTGGATTGAAGCGGAGGAGATGAGCTCGTGTTCATCCAGAATTGCCCTGGCCTGGCACTGTTGTGTAGCTGCAGAGACATCCCGTGGCCAGATGAGGAACAGCCTGAGCCGTGTCCTTGTTCGGGCCTCCAAGATCCCTCAGTTCTTAAATTACTGCCCTTGGCTGTCGCTGTGTGAAGAAACTGGAAATGCAATGCATTCGGAAACTGTAGTCACCACTTGGTTCTTGTACCAACATTTGGATAACTCATCCTTGAGAGGAAATCCTTTGACATTTTCCCCAGCAGCCTCACAAGCAGCTGTAATCTAAGCTGGAAAGGGCAAGTCATCTGGAGAGAATTTGGGCAGCTTTACTTTTCGATCGTCCTGTGGCTGTACCGGGCACTCTGCAAACATTAAAAGAGCATCTGCTTCTCTAAAGCACTTATAATCTCATTTGGATTTACTGGTATATCTTGCTTACCTCTAGAGATCAGGGCCTTGTTGTGCATATAGGTGCTATGAAAGCATTAGAGAATTGTCCTGAAAGACAGAGTAATAAAGGAAAGAATCTGAGCAGAATCCATTCAGTTCCAGTGCACACGCAGTGACAGAATGACTGTCATACTCTGTGTCTTTCATATCAGTGCCTGAAGAGAAGCGAAGAAACACTGAGATAGTAGCAGTGAACAAGAATTATTTAGTCATTTAGATGTTAAAAATGCAGAGGCACAAGGAGGGGAATTCAGATTCTGGGAATGTTTGTACTGCCTATGTCAGTCACCATTACTGATAGGAAGGTGTGGGCTATAGTTCACAGTCTGCTCCATTGCCTTACTAATAAAATGAACAGGGAAGGAAATAATATTTTCTAAAGATGGGAGGCTCAAAATAGCCATATCTCTTCCTTTCCTTATCTACTGTCAATCCTATTGGAGGAGCTCTGGATAGGACTGCCTCCAAATTAGCGTGTGTTTACCTGTAGGATTAAAGAGGTGGTGAGGAGCATGCTGGAACAAGCAGGATGTAAACAGAAAACAGAAGAGGATCTATAAATAAACACCATAAGCTTCTCCAAGTGAACAAGGAGTGAGTGTAAGTGGTCCTTTACTAACAGGAATCCCTTTTGCTTTTTCAGATCACTGCGAGGAAGCAAATTGCCAGGACTTCCCCCCTGTGGCTGCCTGACTGCTGAGCTACCCCTCCCAGCCCATGTGGCTCTCCCCATGCTCCAAGAGTGCAACAAGTGCCCAACGCAATGTGTGTTTGTCAAACCATGGAAGTGGGCAAGTATGGCAAGAATGCCACTCGATCTGGAGACCGGGGGGTCCTGCTGGAGCCTTTCATTCACCAGGTGGGCGGGCACAGCAGCATGATGCGCTACGACGACCACACTGTCTGCAAGCCCCTCATCACCAGGGAGCAGCGCTTCTATGAATCCCTGCCCCCAGAAATGAAGGAGTTCACACCTGAGTACAAAGGTGAGGCATTCCAGAATGCAGTTACAACCCTTCCATTTTCCTGCAGCTGCTGCTGTCTTGCTGTCATTTTGCTTTTTTTCAACTCCCTTTGGCAGGCTGGCAATTTGATAGCGGCACTTGGAAAGGAGAAAGCTGGTTTGTTTTTTTTGTAGGCACACTGAGTTGAATGTGCTCCTCTTTCTAGATAGAGAATATGCAGTGTGACAGTTGTAGTCCAGAGTTTAAGATTATGGATGTGTAACTGAAGCAGTTTTATTACCAAGTTGTTGTCAATTACAGCCTTGACCTTGAGCTAATGAAGCGAGATCATAGGCTGAGCGTTTGCACGTTCCAGTTCCATAATTTATTGCTTCCTCATCCCATCTCTTTTATGGACCCCTAGCAGCAAGCTGCTGAAGCAGGAAGTATGGTTTTCCCAGTGCTGAGGTACAACCTTGTTCCCAGCTGCTTTGAAGGAGTGGAATTTTCCAGTGCCTGTGTCATTGTGGGAGGTTGGCAGCTCAGCTGTGTCTTTGAGAAGCTTGATAGGCTTCCAGTCTTGTGTGTTTGTGTTCAGGATGGTGATGTGGTCAGGTAGGCTTTTGTGGGGCTCAGTGTTCCTGTTCCCTCTGCTGCTTTGTCTCCAGGTGGCACTGGGAAGGTGGTGCTTTGGGGACAGCTGTGACCACCATCTGTTCAGGGTCTTGCCTTTGCATCTGGCTGCTCAAAGCAGTGTCAGCTTCCCTCCCGGTGCCTGCACACAGGTCGTCGTGAGTGAGGGGTACAGTCTGCAACAGATGGGTCTTCTCTTACCCTCCAGCCATTCTGAGGTCACACAGTGCTCTAGTGTCCCACCAGAACTCCCACTGAAGCCTGTGTAGTTCCTATAGTCCATATGGTGTGAGCTTTTCCAGGGCAGGTGTGTTTAAAACTGATGAAGCTGATAGTCCAGATGGACTCTTGTCTTCTTGAGGTCAGGTACTTCCTGGTACCCTAATGGCATGAGATGTGCACGTCCATCCCAGTGTGAGATTTCATCCTGTGCAGATTCCTGATAGTCCTAGAAATCTTTCCTACTGATCTGGGGGAGAGGAACACTGGGTGTGATATTTTCTGTCTGAGCACCCGGATGTTACTGTAAGACTTCACAGAGCTATCTTGAGCACATCCAGGCAGCACTTGGAATAGCATTTATGTAGTGACATTCTGGAGTCCTGAGCTGCTCTGGAATTGTGTTTGAGACACCGTGTTAACATTGTACTGTGCAGATAAGGAGAAAGGAAGGACTGGAATAGGATGGCCTACCTCAGCTGGGCAGGGCAAGGTTTCCTCACGTTTGTGATGAATCATTTGATTCAGTGCATCTGTCATTTGAAACTCCTGGCAGATAGTCAATACTAGTGACAAGCTAATGAAACATTTTGTCATTGCACATCAGGAGATGGGCTGATGGCCTCATTTTCAGGGCTGGGGCAGTCCCAGAAATGAAGATGTCAGCCCTAACTGGAAGTGTCAGCGGTCCTGTTCTGTGGTTGGCCAGATATATTCTGAATCTGTGCTGTGGAAGATCTAAAACTTCCCTTGGACTATGGTGCTTTCCAGAAGCCTTCAGAAGGTAAAACTGGACAGAACACATGGTCCTGCTTGCCTGCACTTGGCAGAGGTAGTTATGCTTCCAGAGACCCCTGTTTTTTATTGCTAGGAAGCCCTGGGCCTTTGCAGGTCCCTTTTTTGTGAGGCTGGCTGACTTATGATAAGAGTGACAGGTGTCACCTCAGCCTTAGGGCTCTGTACTTCATGGCTCTGATGCTGGAAAGCTCCTTTAGCAGAGAAAGCACAGTCCTGCTTGGCCAGTGATGTCCCTGTCAGCAGCAAGAACGCTTTTGCAGGACATAGGTACTTACCCAAACAAACTAGATATTATTTCACATGCTTTGCTCCCCTCAGCATCTTGGCAGACTGTACTTGACTCTCCAGTTTGACGACATTTGCTGCAAGACTGAAGGAAGGAAATAAATCACACCCTCAGCCTACCAGCTGCACTTTTGTCCTTATTTCCTGCAGTGGCAGAGCTTCCCCCTCTTTCATTGCTCTGAGTTTGCTTTGCTTCTCTGTGAGCTACATTTTCCTCTCTCCTGCAGAACATTTGGTTGATAATGGTTGTGTATTCCCTCCTCCAGGAGAATTGACATGTTATTTCTCCCTGGCAGGTGTGGTATCTGTCTGTTTTGAGGGAGACAGTGATGGCTACATTAACCTGGTGGCCTATCCCTATGTGGAGAACGAGGCTCTGGAGCAGGATGATCTACCAGAGAGGGACCAGCCACGGCGCAAGCACTCACGCCGGAGCCTTCACAGGTCAGGCAGTGGCACCGAGCACAAGGAGGAGAAGCCTGGCCTGGCCAGTGACAGCACTGAAAGGTAAAACTTGGAGGGCCCAGTGACAACATGAATAATGGGAGGTCTCTCTTCCTTATTCCTTTGGTTGAGGATGTTTTGCGATTCCCTAAGGTGGCCAGGCTGTTGTGCATTTGCTAGCCCAGCACATTCTGGGACTGCAGACTGTGTCAAGAATTTTGTTGGGTTCAGAACCAATTCATCCACATGAAATGCTTCTGACGTAGGGATAACTGTTGGCAGTGTATCAGATGTAGAACCACAGCATACAGAGCAGATTTGAACACTCTTCAGTCCATCTGGTTATTAACCCAGGGGTTTCTTCCCAAGATGTTTTGAATATGGGTCCTCTACCTCCTCACCCCAGCCAGAGCTTCCAGAGCAACAAGTGATCCTGTTTACTCTATTAGCAGAGATATTAGATAGACCAGATCCTGGAGCATGGGTCTGCAGCCCAGGATATTGCTGAGGATTTGGTTTTAAGAAGATTTGCATTGTCTGAAGCAGGAGAAGGAACAGGAGATGGTTATGTGCCAGGGGAGGATGTTACAGTCGTAAGTGTGTGAAGAACTGATGGATTCTAACAGGCGGGTTTGTTCTGTCTTTACACCAGCAGCATCCAGGAAATGAAGAGTCCCAGGGTGGACTTGCACATCCACTCAGATGTTCCATTTCAGATGTTGGATGGGAACAGTGGCCTGAGCTCTGAGAAGATCAGCTACAACCCCTGGAGCCTGCGCTGCCACAAGCAGCAGCTGAGCCGCATGCGCTCCGAGTCCAAGGACCGGAAGCTGTACAGTATCCTTTGGGAAGCACAGCTGGGTGTGTCAGGTGCTGCTGCACTGGCCTTTACCCGTTTGTGCCTGAGGCAGCCAGGCCTGGATTTCCCTTGGCATTTCTGTCCTCAACCACTCAACCACAGTTAAGTTACATGTTCCTTTTTGCTGTTCCTTCCTGCTTCCCATAGTGTGACACTAATGAATCATAGGAATGGTTTGGATTGGAAGGAACCCTAAAGATCTCGTTCCACCTACAAGCAGTCTGATTGACTTCTTGATACTGGTTGAAGATGGGTTTGTTTTCTGTGCCTCCAGAAATGACTCCTGCCTTTCCTGAACTTGATGGCTTGTAGGGTTATTTTGTTTCACCTGGATTCTGTTTTCCTCACATAGAAACAAACTTACTTTTAATAGCTGTATTCTTTATCATTTTAACGGCTTGGGCTTCCTCCCCCAATTCTCAAGTGTGTGCTTGGAGACTCCAGCTTTTATTTTTAAATAGCTTGCATCACTTGCAGAGAAGTCATTCTCTTTGGCTGCCCTCTCCTTTATAAGCACACTTCCTTATTTTTATGAAGTTCCTCTTTCTAAACCAAACACAGTTTCTTTCTTGCACATTTAATCCAGTTGTACTCTGGATTGCCATTTCGGTGTTTATATGTTGATCTGTGCCCTGTGGGAACCCTTAGGGCAAACTTTTGGGGTGATTTTTTCCCCCCTTTTGGAACAAGTTGCTGTACAGAGTTCCTGGGGTGTGTTCTCAGTGCTGTGCCCCTGTGCAGGGGCTTGCCCATTGTGTGCTGGTGACAGAAATCTCCTGTTACGGTTCTGTTTCCGGGCTTTGTCACCTCCTCAGTTCCCCCCTGTGTGTTGGGCAGTGCTGCTGTTCTGGACAAGCCAACCTTGCCATTATTTGACCCTTGAGTTTTCAGTCTGTGGACTTTGTATTGTTTATCCATGTGGTCAAATGGCTAATTTGATTAGACTTTAAGCTCTCTCTTAATGGATCAGCAATTCCTACTGGCATACTATGTCCTTCCTGACACCCAGTGTTTTGCTTTTCAATTTTCCCTCTGAATTTCCAGTACAACTGCATGTGACTTTCCTGCTGTTGGCTGTTCCACTTTCTAGGCTGTTTCCTTCTACCAGCTGTGAAAGCCTGGGCCCACTGTTTGGGTTTTGTCCTTTTCTTCAACTCACCAAGGTGTTTGTCTTGTCTGTTCTTTGGTTCCTATTTGTTTGTTGCCCAGCCCTATCTCCTTCTGGCCCGTGTCCCTGTCTGTGGTGGCCTTGGGGTGTCTCTGGTGGGTGAGCTCTCCTTGACACATATCCCAGAGTTCCTGTTGCTGGAGAATGTGGTGCATCACTTCAAGCTTCCCTGCGTGCTTGATCTGAAGATGGGGACCAGACAGCACGGAGATGATGCCTCTGAGGAGAAGGCTGCTCGGCAGATGAAGAAGTGTGAACAGAGCACTTCTGCCACCTTGGGTGTGCGCGTGTGTGGGATGCAGGTAGGGATCGCCCAGGCTGCAGATGCAGCTCCTTCCTTTTCACTGCTCCATTAAGCCTCCCAGTTAGTGTTTCCTGCTGAGCACTGAATTTGAACCTCCCACTGCAGGTAGGTACACCAGCATTCATGCTATTCTTGTCTTGATTTCTAAGCCTAAAACAAAGGAACCTGCTTCTCCTGAGATGGCCTGCTTTGTCCAGAGCTCTTTTGTTCACCGACCATTATGGGAATTCTAATAAAATTGTTTTTGTGGCTTAGTGTTTAGCCAGAATCACAGTGCCTGGGAATGGGGGTGTCTGAGATTTCCTTTTGTACTGCACTAATTGTTTAAAAGTTGCTCTGCTGTGCCTGGGCCCTGTGCACAAGGGTTTGCTGCTGTGCAGTAATTGCTCCTTTCCCCACCTGCCAAAGGAACCAGATCTTGTAACTCAGATCTCTGCCCACAGACTCTGAAGTAATGAGGACTCCTTATTAATCGCTTGCCACATAATGGCAATAGGTGTCGGCAGCTCCTGCTGCCAGAGGATTGTCTGAGTTGCTGTAAGACTTGGCTTTTTAACTCTTGGGGTCAGTTGTGTCGTGCCTTTTGGGGCAGTGGAACTGATGAGCCCCTTTTGAGTGTCCTGAAAAGAGGATTAGTATGCCCCTGGGCTGCACCCATGAGCTGCTCTGGGATTCAGAGAACTGGCAGAGCTGTGTCTTGCTCCCACTCAATCATAATGGGGATAGGATGACTTCCCCCTGCCCTGTCAGTGCAGGACCACTTAGGGCTCTGCATGACCTTAGCCTGTTGCTCCCACTTGATGTGCATTTCCTTTGGTGTTCCAGGTCTATCAGCTGGACACAGGGCATTACTTATGCAGGAATAAATACTATGGGCGCGGCCTTTCCATCGAAGGCTTCCGCAATGCCCTCTACCAGTATCTCCACAACGGCATTGAGCTGCGCAAGGACCTCTTTGAGCCTGTCCTCGCCAAACTGCGCAGCCTGAAGGCGGTTTTGGAGAGACAGGCCTCCTACCGCTTCTACTCCAGCTCTCTGCTCATCATCTACGACGGGAAGGACAGCCGGGCGGGGATGCTGGTGGAGCGCCGGCCGGAGGCGCGCCTGAAGCGGGTGGACGGCTCAGTCCCGGAGAGCCTCCAGGACGGCGGCAGCTCGGAGCCCGGCTCCTCGGCCCAGCCCAAGGTGGACGTGCGCATGATTGACTTTGCACACAGCACGTTCAAAGGCTTCCGCGACGACCCCACCGTGCACGACGGACCCGACATGGGCTACGTGTTCGGGCTGGAAAGCCTCATCAACATCATGGAACAGATGCGTGAGGAAAACCAGTAGCCCTGGGCTGTGGCCTCTTATTTTTGTCCTGGTGGCAGGAGCAAACAAGACCACCCACTACCACAGGAAAAACACAGACAAATTTGGTTTTAAACAACTGTACTGCTCCATTGTTTTTTAAATGTACTTGGATAGAAGAGCTGAGGTGAGGCAGGATGGAAGAACTCCTCATGCTGACCAGATGGTTCTGACCACACTTGCTCTGCCTCCTGGAGGAGGCTGTGTAGATGCCTGCTGGGTGTCAGGTGTTCCGGTTCTTCGCTCATCACATGTGCGTTCTGGAGGGAGGACCTGGACATAGGGAAGAGAAAGCAGGAGAGCCCAGGGCTCCTGACCAGGCTGGAAGCTCTGGTGTGAGGAGCCTCCTGCCTCAGGAGCTTCCCCTTTGAATTTCTCCTGAGTTATTTGGAAAGGGCGCTCGCCTGATGGTTGGCAGCGTCTGTGGGGCCACTGGTGAGAAGTCAGGTGCTGGTCCCTGTGTTCGGTGTCACTGGCTCTGCTCTGGGTTTTGCTGATGGGGCTTTGCTTTTGATGCTGCCTTTTTCTGATGTTTGGGCACTGTGAGTAGCCACCCCAAACACGGAAATGAAATGACCAAATGCAATCCCTGGCGGAGCTGTGGCCTGGAGGAAATGCCACACACGTGGAGCTGTGCTCGAGCCAGGAGTCTGCTCACTCCCTGATGCCATGGCATGGGCAGGCACAGGGCTCTGCAGGAGTGGCTCTGCCCTGGACCATTGACTTGCAAGCACTCAGCTCGTGGGCTAGCAATAGTATCTGTAGCAGTTAACATGACCCCAGCTGTGCAGTGGGGCTTTTCGGACCATTTCAACCCTTCCCCTCCTGTAAAGTACAGATTCTATCCCTCCAGCACAAAGCTGCCCTCTTCCCCTGGGGACCCTCTGCCCCCAGGCCGTGCTCTTCCAACAGGTCTGGGGGTGGTGGAAGGGGAGGTTGAGGCTTAGGGCTGATCCCTGTCTCCTCCCTGAGGGTCTCCAGGGGCCAGGTGAGGGGTTGCCTAGCTGAGCAGTGAGTGCCACTGTCTTGACTGTTCAGTACCACTGCCTGACTGTTCAGCTTTGCTTCACAGAGTCAGTGTCTCCCAAAATCAATGTCCCCTAGCCTCCTTTGATGAGGAATTAACATTTGATACTGTGGCCTGGTGGTACCAGACTGAACCCTGCCTCCACCTCAGCTCCTGTTTCTGTGCTGAGGCCCTGGCTACTCCCTTCTGCTCTCACTGACTTATTTCACGGCGTTACCATTACCCTGTGTACCCACAAGGCCAGGGTTGGGTTTTTTTAAAATTACTTCAGGAAAGCTCCTTTGGGGAATACTCGCATGTCGCATGTGTGCCGACTCCATGTGCGCAGAGGCCGCTCAGAAAGCACGGCTGCCACAGCAGGCACAGGTCTGTGGCACTGGTGTGGAAGGGGACAGGAGAGCTGCCCCCTTTCTCTGCCTGTCTCCCAGCTCCTCAAAGCTTGCCCAAGCCACTACTCCCCTCCCACCCACTGGACAAGGACCTTTATCCATGGCATGCTGCCCTGCACCGGGTTACTTCATTGCTTCTGTGGGTCCCTACCTTGCCAGGACTCGCAGAATTTTCAGGGAGCAGGTTTGCAGGAGGCAGCGAGGCTGGGCGAGTGCTGGGGTGTAGGTACCCACAACAGCCGTATTATTCCCTGGCCCTGCCACAGCGTGGCCCATCGCTGCCCACCTCTGCATGTCCTTGTCTCCGCGGGCTGTGCTAGGGCGGGTCAGGCCGCACCTCTAGGAGAGCCCCTTGCTGTCCCCCCGCGCTCATTCCTTCCCTTCCCCACCTCACTGGGCCGTGACTGAGGGGCCACGCTGCCGGTGCTCGGTGGGAGCCACCTCCCCTCTTCGGACCACCGCGGTGGGACTCCACAGCTTGTACATAGCCTTGGCCCCGTTTGTTTTTACATGAATAACCACCCTGTTTGTGCTTCACTGAGAACCAAAAACCATTAAAGGATCTGTTTTTGTCCGCGGTGTGCCGTGCCTGCCTCTCCCACCATATGAGCCTTGGGGACAGGACTGGGGGGCAAGTGCCCGGTGCGGCTGTGGCCGCTGCTCTCTTCTCATCGGGGTCGCCCTGTGGCTGCTGCGTCCCGAGGGAGCCCCGGCCCTAGGCAGGGTGTGCGGGCTGCAGTAACGACCTGGCCATACGGCGGCGGGACCCGGGCGGACCTTAAGACCCGGTTGGACAAGGGAGCATGCGGGGCGGGCACTGACACCCGGGAGGGCGGTAGGACCTGGGCGGGCGGTAAGACTGGGCGGGAGGCAAGGCCCGGGCGGACGGGGCGGTGTTCCCGGAGGGGGCGGTGTGTCGGGGGCGGGAGGCAGGGCCCGGGCGGGCGGGGCGGTGTTCCCGGAGGGGGCGGTGTGTCGGGGGCTGGAGGCAGGGCTCGAACGGACGGGGCGGTGCCGCGCCTGGCAGTGACGCGCCTGGCGCGCCCCGCGCTGACGTGTCGGTGCGGGCGCTGCGTGAGACGCGGGATGCGGGCGCTGATCCTGGTTGGCGGCTTCGGGACGCGGCTGCGGCCGCTGACCCTGAGCCGGCCGAAGCCGCTGGTGGAGTTCTGCAACAAGGCGGTGCTGCTCCACCAGCTGGAGGCTCTCCGGCAGGTGGGGGCGCGGGGCGCTGGGGGCGCGGGGGCCGCCCCGCCGCCGGCTGACCCGCGCTCCCGCAGGCGGGCGTCAGCCATGTGGTGCTGGCGGTGAGCTACATGTCGGACGCGCTGGAGGCCGCCATGCGGGAGCAGGAACAACGGGTAAGGGCCCTTCCGCCTCCCCCCACCTCTCCCCCTTCACCCGGCCTGTCCCGCCGCTCACCCTGTGCCCGCAGCTCGGCATCCGCATTTCCATGTCCCACGAGAAGGAGCCGCTAGGCACAGGTAGGATTCGGGCAGGGGCTTGGGGCTGGAGGGTGGGCGCAGGCGGGATGGAGGAAGTCCAGGGACAGCAGGCTGGGTGCTGGGGGATACACTGGGATGGACACGGCACGGCTACGGACGCCATGGGCATTAGGGTGGGTACGGATGGGTAGGCCTGGGGGACACCGGGAGTGGAACACCACAGGCAGCAGCATGGCTACACATAGGTAGGGACGGGAGAAGCAGGGGAACCGGGAAGGATATGCCAGGATGGACATGGGCAGGACCAGGGACAGCGGGACGGGTGAGGATCCAGAGGGACTGGGGACTTGGGAGGGATGCTGGGAGCAGCAGAGGAGGGGCCAGCAGGACTGGGGCGCCGGGCTCACCACGTCCCTGCGGCGTCACTCACGGCCGCGCAGCGGGGCCTCTGGCTCTGGCGCGGGACCTGCTGGCCGAGGACGGGGAGCCCTTCTTTGTCCTCAACAGCGACGTGATCTGCGAGTTCCCCTTCGCGGCGCTGGCCCGTTTCCACCGGCAGCACGGCGGCGAGGGCTCTCTGGTCGTGACCCGCGTGGAGGAGCCGGCCAAGTACGGCGTGGTGGTGTGCGAGGCTGACACCGGCCGCATCTGCCGCTTCGTGGAGAAGCCGCGCGTCTTTGTGTCCAACAAGATCAACGCTGGGCTCTACATATTTAACCCTGGCATCTTGCAACGCATCCAGGTACAAGCCGGGCTGCCAGGCTGGGCCAGGCTGAGGGGCTGTGCACCCTGCTCAACCCTGTGCCCTGTCCTCGCAGCTGCGCCCCACCTCCATCGAGAAGGAGATCTTCCCAGCCATGGCACAGGATGGGCAGCTCTATGCCATGGAGCTACAGGGTAAGGCCCTGTGCACAATGCAGGCAGCATCGGGGGTCTTGCCTGAACTTCCACCCTCATGCTGGGGGCTGTCACTGTGGCTCTGTCCCCACAGGCTTCTGGATGGATATTGGGCAGCCAAAGGACTTCCTTACGGGCATGTGCATGTACCTGCAGGCGCTGCGGGCTCAGCACCCTGAGAAGCTGCACTCGGGGCCCGGTGTCGTAGGGAATGTGCTGGTGGTAAGTGCCAGCCCCCAGCACACCAGCCCTCAGCATGTCATGAGCTCTTTGCATTGTCCCACTGCTGTCCTTGCTGCCATCCTCAAGCTGTGCCCTCCGTTTCCCTGGCTGGCCAAATGGCATGGGCTATGACAAGAGCTGTGTGCCCTCCCGATCCTGACATGGGCCCTCTTCCTTCCAGGACCCCAGTGCCAAGATTGGGGCAAACTGTGTCATCGGCCCCAACGTGACAATCGGGGCCGGCGTGGTGGTGGAGGATGGGGTGCGCATCAAGCGCTGCACTGTGCTGGAAGGGGCCCGCATCCGCTCCCATTCCTGGCTGGAGTCCTGCATCGTGGGCTGGAGCTGCTCCGTAGGGCAGTGGGTGAGGACATGGGCGCCCCTGCAGGGCATCGAGACTCGGGTCTTGCCCTCCCACCTCCTCGGGCTGTCGCTGCAGGGCTGTGGTCCCTGCAGGCAGGAGCAGGAGCCTGGCACTGGGCCCTGAGCACAGGATGTGACAGGGCCTCTCTGGGGCAGGTGCGCATGGAGAACGTGACTGTGCTGGGCGAGGACGTCATCGTCAACGACGAGCTCTACCTCAACGGGGCCAACGTGCTGCCACACAAATCCATCGCAGAGTCTGTACCAGAGCCACGCATCATCATGTAGCAGCCCCCAGCAGGCTCTGCACTCCCAGCTCTCCTTGGATTAAATATTTATATTTACATTTACTGTTAAGCATCACCTGAGTGCAGCCCCAACACTGGGTGGTTTCCCCTTCCCATCTTTGAGGGCACCACATAAGGAAGAATAATTTAATGCTGCTTTTCATGAAGTCAGCCCCCAGCCAGGGGCAAGTTAACAGCCCGAACGCCCAGCTCGGCCCCCCTGCCCTGGCCCCGGGGCTGCCGTGTATTCCCAGTGCTACCACAGAGGCCTTGGGCTCCCCTCCCTGAGAACAGCCCACGGAGCAGAGAGGCTGCTGGGCACCAGCCTCTCCCACCCTGCAGCCCTCCCCTCTCACGCTGCTGCCTCTTGCTGGCTCCTGACCCTCTGGGTGAGGGTCTCACAGCCCTGAGCTGGGCAAACGTTTGGGGGAGAAGCCAGTATGAGCTGGGGGGGCTGCTCCACTCAGCAGGGGGAGCCCGTGGTGGGCTGGGCTCTATGAGCTGGCTGGCTTGGTGAAGTCGTCCACCCCTGTGATGGTGGCCTTACAGAAGAAGCAGTCCTTGTTGTTCATCAGGTGCTGGTTGATGCAGGCTCTGGGACAGAGAAGGAAAGAGCATCAGTCCCCACCCACAGGGCACAAGGCAGGGCCAGGGGCTGGCAGTCATCCTGGTGGAGGTCAGACATGGGAGCTACTCACTTGCATGACTTGTGGGAGCAGGGCCTGAAGATGGCTGAGATGGGGTGTGCGTAGCAGATGGGGCACAGGTCTTCCTCGCTGGTGGGCTGTGGGGGTCACCAAGCAGTTAGTGATGGTATCCAAAGTCCTGTGTCCCAGGCCTGCTGTCAAGGACTGGGACAGGGCTGGGCAGGGGGAGGACTCACCAGTGTGGTAGCAGCTGCCTGCTTGGACTCCTCACTCAGATGGTTCAGCATCTTTTCCACCTTTGCCAGCTCCTCAGCATTGATGTATTCTGTGTCTGGAGGGGCAAACTGGGCATGTGTGGGGTGGATGGCACCCTCAGGCTGTCCTGAGGGTGCTGAGTGGTGCACAGGTGCTGCAGCTGCCCGTAAGGACCAGCCAGGACAGGGAGCAATGGGCACAGGGCAGGGTAGAACTACTGGCTGGCACTGGATACATCCATCCCCATCCAAAGAGCTACTGCTGGGGTGGTGGAGGGGGGCACAGACACGTGTCCCCAGGACTAAAAGGGCTTGGACGTTGCAGGGGACACGGACACCAGCAGCCCCATTCCTCCCTCCCTAGCTGTGGGTGGGTACTGGCACAGCCCAGCTCCCAGTGCAGGGCCAACACTTACAGGTGTGCAGGGAGAAGTGGCGCTTGTCCGTGGCCGGGGCAGCTGCTGCCAGGGCTGAGGGCTCAGCGTGGCCCAGCAGGTACTGGATGGAGCGCAGCTGGAAGCAGGGATCTGCCAGCAGCACCGCGGTCGCACGCTCCGTCCTGCCAAGGGACACAGACCTCAGAGAGCAGACACCCCACCCTGTGCTCCCATGCCAGCATCCACAGCTGGTGTCACCCCAGTCCAGGGGAACGTGCTTAAATGCAGTCAAAGAGCAGCAGTCATCCTCCTCCTCCTCTGCCACCCCGACTCAGAGGCTCCGGGGATCGATGTGGTGCTTCAGAACTTGCTGAGGCTGCAGCCCTCGGGCCAGTGCCTGAGCCTGGGTTGCTGCAGGGTGGCTGAAGCATCCAACGCTGCCCTTGGTCACAGCACCTCAAGGGAGATGCTCTACAGAGCCTCACACCAGGGACTGGCACCCTGCTGCACCAACAGGACAGCTCAGGGTGTTCTTAGGGCAAGTGGGTCCCCCCAAAAGGAAGGAAGAAGTCATGGCCCTGCCTGGATTCAGTGGGCACAGCCAGGATGGATGAAGGTTGCCTTAATGAGTGTCTCCCTTGGGCACCAGTGCCGTGGCTTGGTAACAGCCCCCGGCAAGGAGCAGAGTTGCCTCCGTGGCCAGCCCAGGGGCAAGCAGAACGGCCCCAGCGGCAGGAAGGGCAAGGGAGTAGGCAGTCAGCACAGGCTGAGCCGGGGCACAGGGGGTTAACAGCCCCTTGACTTGCAGCAGCTGCAGCCGCCAAATTAGCTTTTTGCTGCCCTAATGGAAACCAATTCCCCAGCTCTCTTCTTCCCACTAAACCGCCTGAGCTCTGGATAATGACATTCCTGAGTGTCCTTCACCCTTTGGCCACTCCTTCCCCGCCAGCAGCCCACGGCACCCCCTCTGCCGTGGGGACCCCACCGGGCTCAGCCCCACTGCTCACTGCAGGACCAGGGGTGCTGGGGGGTCCTCAGCTCGCGGGGTGCTGAAAATTAGGGCAGCGGGAAGGACAGCGGCTGGGAGAGAAGCAGCACCGGGGGATGAACGCCATCCCCACTGCCAGCCTGGATGCACGATGTGACACGAGAGGTTCCCAGAGGTGACGGGTTTATTCCAGCATTCTGCCAGAGGCTGAGCAGTGGCAGAGCAGCCGCTTTATGGATTACAGCCTGTCGCGGCTCTCCGGCGGCTGCACACCGGTACGGCCGAAGTGGTCCTCAGCTCCCCTGGGGACGAGCGACTACGCAGGGTCGGTGCTGGGGCTGCGCATCGCTCTGCCCACTCGCAGGGAAGGCCACGGCCAAGGACGGGGACAGGGACCGGGCCAGGACCATCGCCGCGGCCACCACTCCCCGCGCCGGGGCCAATGGGATCCCGCCCGGCCCCCTTGCCGCGCACCGCCCGCCCGTAAATAGGGGCAGGAGCGGGACCGCGCTCCTGGAGCGCGCCCGGCTCCCGGAGATGCTGCCCAGGAAGGAGCCGGACCAGGCTCCCCGGAGGTCGCAGCGTGCGGATGTGCCCCGGCGGCGCCGAGCCCTGAGAAACTTGGCATTCCAGGGATGAGAAGCTCCAGGAGGCAGCGAGGCGCCCGCCCAGCCCGGCACACAGCCCCGGAGCGCCCGAGCTCCTCAGCCCCCTGATGCTGATCGCCGGCGCCCAGCCGATCCCCGGCAGCCCCCGGCCGGCCGGAGCACAGGTACGAGGCAGCCTCGGGTGAGCCGGGCAGGGCGATGCCGCCCTTTATGTCTTTTCAAGCCCCACGGCTGGAATCGGGATCCTCTTTCGCGGGGTGCAAAAGGGCGTCTGTGGATGCTTGGTAGAGCCAAGCCAGCGCTGGGGGAAAGACGAGAGACGGCGGCAGATTTTTTTCTCGCGTCTCATCGAGCCTGGCTGTGCCGCTGGGCTGTACAGAGGCTCCTGCCAGCCACAATGTCCTCACCGGTGACCGGGGACCCGGTCTGGCCGCGGGTGGCAAAGCTGTTCCTGTTGCTGCTCCAGCTGAGCGCCCCTCGAGCCTCCCCGCAGCCCCACCGCTGCCCTGCCGCCTGCATCTGCACCTCCGACCTGCTGAGCTGCAGCCGGCAGATGCTGCAGCGGGTGCCCCAGGCACTGCCGCCCACTACCACCACGCTAGACCTCAGCCACAATGCCCTCACCCATCTCCACGATCGCTGGCTGGCCGCCCTACCGCACCTCGAGGCCCTTCACATCAGCCACAACCAGATTCGGGACCTTTCTCCACGGGCTTTCCACAATGCGTCCTTCCTGCGGCACCTGGACATGTCCTCCAACCACCTGCACGCCGTGGAAAGGCACTACTTCGAGGCGCTGCTCAGCCTGGAGGAGTTGCTGCTCTACAACAACCGCATCACGCGGGTGGATGAAAATGCTTTTGCCAAGCTGAGTGGTCTGCGGAAAGTCTACCTGAGCTGGAACAACCTGACCACCTTCCCCTTCCATGCGGTGCAGGGGCTGGGAATCTACAACCTCCGCACGCTGGACCTCTCCTCCAATAACCTGAGCAGCGTCCCCGTGGAGGTGCTGGCAGCTCTGCCCGAAAATATCGGCAATGGCCTGTACCTGCACAACAACCCCATCAGGTGCAGCTGCCCTCTCTACCTGATGCTTCAGCGCTGGAATCAGCGAGGTTTCAGCTCAGTGAAAGATTTTTCTGAGGAACACACCTGTAAGGTATCTGACAACGTGCCCCGGTCCCTGATCAAGTTCCTCAAACACAGCCACATGTTTGAGAACTGCTCGGCAAGCGCTGAAGATGTGCACCTCTCACACTTGGAGGTGACAGTGGGCCAGCCCATCCTGCTCACCTGTAACACCAGTAACACCAGCCTGCCGCACACAGCCACTACCTACATGTGGATCACCCCTCAGCACGAGCCCATCAAACACCCAGGGAACAGCAATCGCTCCCTGGAGGTCTATGGCAATGGCAGCCTGAGGATCGCTGTAGCCAAGCCCTGGCTCTCAGGGGTCTATGTAGGCTTGGCCATGAACAGCCCCTACAACTTCAGCAGGATGTGTGAGTTCAACATGACCGTCCTTTACCCCAAGGCAGCTGGGGAGACCTTCAGCACTGGCCTCACGACCCTGCTGGGCTGCATTGTGAGCCTGGTGCTGGTGATCATCTACTTGTACCTCACACCGTGCCGCTGCCTGGGCTGCTGCAAGAAGCCAGCCCCGCTGAGCCCCCCGCAGGAGTGCAGTGCCCAGTCCTCCATCCTCAGCGCCACTCCCCCTGCCACCGACGGGCCAAACCGCAAGGCCAGCGCCAACAAACACGTTGTGTTCCTTGAGCCCATCAGGGAGACACAGAATGGCAAGATCCGCCTGGCCCTCGGCGAGGACTTCCCTGACCCCAAGCATCCCAAGGTCCTGCAGCTCAAGTCGGACTCAGAGTCCATCAGCTCTGTCTTTTCTGATACCCCCATTGTGTCCTAGTGGGAGAGAGCTGGGAGCAGAGCTGATATGTCCCAAGAGCTGGTCTCCCCCATCGCTGCTACAACAGGATTATTGGGCATCCTGAGTTCCTGGCTTGACCACGACCCATGGGAGTGATTGACATCACCCACAACTGCTTCAGCCATGGGCTCTTGGTGCATTCTGGGCCACAGGCACACTGGTGCCCAGCAAGAGCGCCTTGTATAATCCACTGGCAATGGCCTTGTTAGCACAAGGGTAACGCTGATGAACCCAGCATGCTGGACAAACACCCCTTCATTTGGGCACCCACCCTCCCTCCTGTGACACCAGGCCTGGGCACCTGCCATGTCCCCACGCATGAGATGCCCAACCTGACACCACTGCCACAGACGCCTCAGGCCAAGGAATACCTGTGACAAGTGGGACATTGTCCTGGCTCACGCCAGGGTCCTCAGGAATGGCGATGTCACCATCCTCTCCCAGCACATGCTGGTCGCCATCAGCATGTCATGGCTGGGAGCAGGGGACTGTGACCCTGTCACAAACGAGGGGTACACACCCATCCCCAAACGTGGCCATGCAGGAGGGATGGAGCTCAGCGCCTGACCAGCCATGCAGCCAAGCAAACCTTACAAGCTTTTGCTTCCCGAGAAACTGTAAATCGTCACGGCAGGATTAGGTGACGAGGCACAGCGCCCCAGCCCGCATTGCTCAGATGTCCCCGTGCCACCAAGGACACTGAGGTCTCCGCTGCACCACGCACTCCTTGCTGCTTCTCCTTGAGGCGGACATGCACTGCTCCAGCACAGCTATTTAGGCAGTAACCTAATCAGCCTATCGATAAATGTGAGTAATCCTCCCCTCTCCTGGGTCGTAATTCTCTAGTTCCATTGGAATAAAAATGCCTATTTTTTTAAGCTCACGCTGGGCTGAGTGTCTCCTTGCCCTTGCAGCAGTGTGCAGCTCACGGGCACAGCAGTGGGAGGCTGAGGTCTGAGGGAGCCCTGAATTCCTGCAGGCCCAGCACATGGAGCCAAGCAATTTGCACTGGACTGGCAGCCTCTGCTCCCATCAAATGGCCTTCAGGCGGCCTCAGCAAGGGGGTTAAATGTGCTGGTGAGAGAAAAGCATCCAGTGGTTTGTCCTTGGGAGGGGAGGTCCCCAAAAGGATGCCTGGGAACTGGGGAAGGAGCAGCACCAACTGACATGAGGGCACATCCAGACCCCGAAAGGAACAAGCAGGGTTTAGATGCAGGAGAATGGTATCTCTAGGGATGGGACTGGCACTGCCTTTGGCTCAGTCCTGGTGCTCCCTGCAGATGGAGCCCCCACTTGTTACACCTGTGCTGCCTTCCCTGGCACCCACCCTTGTCTCTTCCTGAAACAGGGAGTGGTTCTGCCCCCTCAAAATGCCTGTCCAAAGAGGGATAAGGGTATCCTACCTATCTCCCAGTCACCAGTATCCCATCCACAGCTGGAGCAGGAGCATGTGGCCATCACATGCAGCACAGGGGAGGCCAGAGCTACCTGCTGTGGGCAGGAGCACAGCTCAGACATCATGGGAACAAGGACTCTTCAGAGATTTCCACCCCTCTCCCATGGCTGAGCGCTCTGGTCCCAAGAGCTGCTGGCAGCCCTGTGACTGGTGGGAGGGGAAGAACCCTGTGGCATCAGGATCACACTAACACACATCCTTTCAACTTCTCTGGCCAGGAAACAAGCAGCTTTTTTCCCAGCAAAAACTCAACTTCGTGCCCAAATAAATTGTCAGTACTGCCCCCGCCTCCATCCAAGGAGGGGTGAGTGTTTGGGAGAGCTCTCTTGGAACAGTCCAGCCTCCCAGTGCCACTCCTGACAGTGACCTTGCACAGCTCTGTGCCACCCGTGCCCCACGGCTGGCGGAGGTGACGGATGCACAGCGACAGCCCCCGCTGGCTGTGCCCTCGCTGGCTGTGCCCTCGCTGCCCCACACCCACCTCTGCTGGCCCTGTCACCTCGTGTTAGCACAGTGTCGTGATGGGCCCAGGACAGTGTGCCAGCCTCACCGGGGCTGCCAGGGGGTGATGAGGTGAGTCCTGTCAGACACAGAGGGGAGTGGCACCTTGAGGGTGGAGATGAGGTGCTGTCATCACTCCTGGCTTTACAGCCAGGCAGGGATCCCATGGGAAGGAACGTTTGGATTTGACCTGGGAATGTCTGGGAAAGAGAAGAGACCCAGCTGACTGCACCCAGGAACAAACCAGACAAGGGCACTGACCCGAGTGTGATCTGCACCTGCCGAGACAGTGCCAAACCCATGCCAGAGCATGTGCCGTATCTAAGCACATCTTCCTGCAGAAGGAAAGATGAAGTGTTGCTCTGAGCCCCAGCTGCTGGATTCACCATCCTTGTCTATCTCCCCAAAAATCCTCCCCTTCCCCACTGCCAACGCCAGCTTCCCAGGCATCAGCGTTCCTGCAAATCTGCATCCTCAGCTGAGGGTAGTGACTGAAGACTGGGGGAAGCTCAGAGAGTGTAAGATAAGCTCCCAGAGTTCTTTTCAGGAACACACCAGCCTGAAAAAGCCCAGGAGAACTCTCCTAGGCTGGCTGCAATTCTCCTATCCCTGCAGGAAGGCTGAGGCTTGCTCTTGAGGGACTTGCTCTAAGATTTGTATCCGTGCTGCCCTCAAGGGATCCTTCTGCCTTTACCCAGGAAAGTCCTGCTGCTGCTTTTCACATGTTCCTGATGCTCAGAAAGGATCCCACACCACACTGCTGAACCAATGAGCACTGCGAGGCGGTTGGAACTGTCGAAGCAGTTCATTAAGCAGCCTGAAAGGCAGAACATCTCAGCAAGGAAAAACAGCCAGGAGCAAAGCCTCTGACAGGCAGGAGCTGGGAAACCTAATGGACGTTCCCCAAGGAATACATTGTCCTCTCTTGGCAGCCATCTCCACCATCACACCCCTGGCTCCCAGCCAAACCTCCCTCCTGCTCCTTGACTCTGCAGGGCAAAGTAATGGGTGAGCACAAAGCTCACTGGCCCTGGCACACAGGGACCTGTGCCAGCATGTGTGAGGATAAGGATTAGCTTTGGGGACCAGTGTCCAACACTGACTCCTGTCTCCTCTGGCACTTCACACCTCAGCCAGGACAACAGGGCACTGAATGCCAATCCCATCCTGTCCTCCGGTCACCAAGGATGGACATGGTAGGGCCTGGATCCTTTCCTTACAATGCTCAGATTTCCAGAGAGCTCCAATCAGCAAAGCCTGGTGCTGGCCAGCACAAGGCCTGCTCCTGTCTCCCAGCATGTGCCTGACAGCCCCAAGGGGCTGAGAGAGCCCAGCCCTGGCAGTCCCATCACTCAGGATGCAGCACTTGGAGATGGCAGCTTGTAAAAACACTGACCAACACTCCTTTTTTAACCACGAAACATTGGCCAGAGCTAATAATTCTTCTGTGCTCTGGTTCAGGCTCACCCTAATGTTACATACTGCAAAACTGCAGTACCACCCATTTTCTGAGTTTTTAGAGCAAGGTACCAAGGACTCCTTTAGACTGTGTGGTCCATGAAATGTCTACTCCTGCCCTCCTTCCACAACAGCTTGCTCATCAACACTGTCGAGGGAGCATTAGTGTTTAAGGGATCAGTAATTACAAAGTCTTACAGGAACTATGTAGAAAACTGCCACGTCCACAGGATCAGCCAAGTCCCCAAGGTCCTAGCAGCACATAAGCACACAGGGCCAGGCTGTTTAGGAACCTGCAGACCTTCTGATCTTTCTGGTGGAAATGATCCCAAAACCATTTAGCAGCTGAGAAGTCTTTTTAGCCTTCCTCTCCCACCGTCTTGTGCCTCCTTACCTTTCTGGTCACTAGTGTGTTACTTCTGCCCCACAAACCCCTTTGTCTGTTCCCAGCCCATCTCTCTGCGCCCATCTGAAGTTTGCAAAGGAGAGGAGTGTGGAGACCCAGACAGAAATATCCTGACATCACACCAGCCCAGTGCTGCTTCTGGCAGGTCCCACTGGCTCCTGCTCAGCATCCCACTGGCTCAGCATGGTTTCTTCTGATCCAGGATCCCTGTCCTGTGCTTTGATGGCTGGTACCACCACGTTCCTAGTGAGCACAGTGCATCTCCTTCTGTCTTCTCCATCCTTCATGCAGAAGTCCCTGGGAGATGCACCTTGAAGGCTCTTTAGGACTTGTCCTGTACAGACTGGTTTGCTGGCTCCTTGCATGTATCCCAACCCTCTCCTCACCCTGAGAGCATCACCTCCCTGCCTCCCTGCCTGATGGAGGGAGCATGGGGGAAGCCTGAGGAGCAGAGCATTGGCCCTGTCCTGACACAACACAGCTCATCTCCATCTGGGACGGCCACTCACTTCCCACAAAGCCAGTCCTAATTACAGCATGCCCTCACACACTGGGGACCACAGCCTCACCTCTGGGCCTCACCCCTTTCCCTTCCACTCGGTCTCGCCAGGATCCTGACACCAGCTCTGGCCAACACCGCTCCATTAGCTCATTCTGAAAGAGGCTTAATAGAAAATCTGGTCAATTATTTAGCAAGCAGACAAAGGAGGGATGATACTGCCTGAAGACAGCCAGGGTCTGTGGCACGGATTCAGCCCAGCTCCTGGCTCAGCCTGGCAGATCCCGCCTTTCCTCTGCTCCCCCCTCAGTCATTAAGGCTGGCAGAGGGAGCAAAGGGACATCCCTTCCCTCGGCCCTGCCAGCCCCTGACACTCCCCAGTGCTGCTCAACAGCTCTCACACCTGAGGGCTGGGAGGAGGCACTCACCTCAAGCAGCACCAGCCCATCCTGCCTGACCTAGCAAGGAATTGCACCTGTGCTCTCTCAAAAGCACAGCCTACTCCATCCTGGGACTGACGGATCAACTGTCTCACCACAGCCTAGCTTAGGCAATGTTCCCTTTCCTTGTGCTTAATGGCTGTGTTTGATGCCAGGAGTCCACAGCAAGAGGACTCAATGCCTGGATGAGTGTCCTGTGCTGGGAAAGGAGCAGCTGAAGCATCTGATTGCAGCCTGATAACGCAACTGGATGAGTTGGCAGGGCCCTGGCTCTTACTTACTTATTTACTTCCCCACTGTAATGTTCTCATCCCATAAATGGGACTTCATCCCTTCACCACCAGATGAGCCCATTCCCTATGTCCCAGATGTTTGCAGCACCTTCCAGCCAAGTGCCTGGCACAGTGTCTGCTTGCCGGGTCAGAGGCAACCAGAAAAAACACAGCCAAGCCAAGGAAGTCTTTCAAGGTCCTGTCCCTGTCCTTATTCTCTGGGGCACAACCTCCTCACAGGGAAGCAGTCAGGTTCCTGGTAATTCCCACAAGGCCATTGCTACGTGCAAATGTGGGTTGGAAAATCTCTCTGTTAATGATTTCTGTCAATCTGGGAGTTACCAAATGGGACCTGGAAGAGATTTCTACCAGCTTTCAGCACTGCCCAGGCAGAGTGCTTCTGGGGAAGGACAAAAGCCTATCTTATTATCCTACTTGCTGCACCAAGAGAAAGGAAAAAGGAAAGGTATCTACAAATAAGTTCACATTAAGGGTCTGCTCTGGAGAGCCTGGTTACATACAGGACCCTTTAAATCACTTCAGTCACGGAAATCATCTTCCATGAGAGTGTAAAAACCCGAGGAAGGTTTGAATTCTCCTGTTCCATTCCTTTTACTCATGCACCTGGAGACAGATGCTGTGCTCTGGCCCAGCCATCATTGATATGCACCATCTCCCTGGGTTTTGGGTGATTGTTACCCCAGCTGCACCTCTCAGGTTTCAGCACCCTGTGGTGATGGTTCCTTGGATAGAGGATGAAACCAGAGCTGAGCCCTTGAGGAATATAAAGGCAGCAGAAAAGCCTCAGTTTTCTTGTTTTCTCCTCCCATCTCTGTTTGCCATTTCTCAGTGTGGCTGCACAGAGCAGAACTGCTCTGTAAGTGGGGTGCAACACCCAGTCCTCAATTCAGAGTGCTGCCAAGAGTGTGAAGGCTCAGTTCTCCCTTCTCCATGACACTGTGCCTTTGATCTCTGCCTAGTCTCTGCCACCTCCTCTGCTCAAGCAGCAGTAGAGGGTCTCCAAGCCACCTGCCTCGGTTCTTTTGTCTTGACTGACCTCAGTGGCTCTCCTGCAACATCTGCTTACCTTTTATAGATCACTGATGTATCAAACCTCATGTGCATGGCTTTGCAAATCACACAGAAGAATTTTGCCTTATGGATATTTTTCCCTGGGCTTCCTCCTGTTCCACCTTCTGCTTCTTCTGCTCGTTAGATCCACCTTAAGGATGCTTTTCACCCATCATTACACTATTTTGCATTTATTTCTCCTTTCCAGTGCTTAGCGAAGTGACTACAAAGCCCTTGAACATCAGAGACTTGCCAGTTCCCTCGAGCACAGTGTCTCTGGTTTGTGATGGTGCAGCCCAAGGCATGAAGGATGCTGTTGGCACACAGGGGACAGTGCCACTTGGTGATGACACCGGATGCCTGGAATTCACAAACCCAAAGCACAACAGGCTTTTCAGGGAAAGGCCAGTCTAGAAGCTTTCTGTTTCTCCAGCACTCCCTGCAGGCTAGGAAGGATGTGACTGATATCCCACTACCATCTTCACAGTGCTCTTCGGAGTTTGATAAACTAGGGGACAACCTTTCTCCTTCCCCATTTTGACCTGACAAGTGACCTGACCTGGGACAGATGTTCAAGGGAGAGACAGGCAGGGAAGGACTTCTCGTCCTGGCATGTTTTATCATCTCCCCCTTCCCTTCAGGAAGAAGTGTCTAGTTGTGGGATCAAATTTGTGACATTTGCCCTTTTCACGGAGCAAGGTTCTGAGGGCAAGCAAAATCCACCTCTGCTCACAGCCCAGAGAGGCCATTGATCAATGACCTTGTGCCCAGGTTTTGGCACTGTCACACTTAGGGCTGTGTGACTGGTGCAGCAGCCATGGGAGCCAGGTTATAATTAGATATATTTGTGTAGATCTTTGAGTCCTTGAGAGAAGCTGAAAGACTGGCTGCAGGGCTGAGCTGCTCGGCCAGATGGGACTCTGCTCTCTGCAAAGCCAGACACTATTGTGTTCTCCAAACATGAAAACAAGCAGGATGTACAGCACAGACAGAAGAGCTCCATTTCCTACAGCAGCCTACAGCAAACAGTGACAAGGCAAGACACCTGCAAATGACACTGCGAGACAGCAAAGGCAGGGCTGCAGAGTGTCTGAGTAAGTCTATTTGCAGGACTCAGTACAAGCAGACACAGACAAATGATCAGGTCAGCTGTGGCTTTGTCCAGCCACAACACTCCTCTAGTGCTGCTTCTTTGAATAACTGGCCATCCGAAATACAAGATTTGTTTCATCTTAAAATCAGCATCACCTAAGTGCCTGGAGAAGACTTGTCTCACCTTTGTGGCACACGTCTGGGCAGCCAGAGAGCTCTGCACACGTTCTGATGCCTTCCTAAGAGAGGTCCAGGGTGAAGGAGCTCCAGTGACCTCCCTTCCAGCCATCACTGTGTACTGCAGCACTTGGTTGTGTCACCACATCAGCATAGCTCTATCACATGCAGCACTCACAACTTTCACCAGCAGTTGTCCTGTCACAGTGTCAGACCCCATCCCAAAGAGGAAGGTGCAAATGTGCTGTCAGTACAGCATCTCAGAGCCACCTCTAACAAGCGTTTTCCACCACAACAGGAAGAGGCTTTGCATCCACCAGTAGCACTGGGATGCAGCTGCTACAGGAATGTGGCTCTTTTTGTTTCTGCCTGCTCCACACTCATCAGCTTCACCTCACTTTAATCTCTACACCCCATGTTGCTCCTGCAACACCTCCCTTGGCCCCACTGCAGCACCCGGAGCAGTGCCACACACAGAGACTCTTGTGCTTTGGAAGGTAAAAGCCACTCACCCCTGAACATCAGAGTCCACCAGCAGCCGGACCAGTATCCCAGTCACAGCCACAAGGATTGGGTAATGGTCCACGCTCTCCAGCCCTATGGAAACAAAAAAGAAAGGTAAGAGCTTCTGCCACTGTGTGATAGGCAGAGCAGGGCAGGTCTGAGGTCTGATCTCATCCAGTTCTGCACTCATCTTCAGTACAAGCCATCCCTCCCTTCCCGAGGGCATGCTCCCAGCATGTTTTCCAAGGAGAGACAGAGTGGACTCACCTGGCAGACGGAGGTTGACCACTCTGTCAAACAAGTTCCTTTCAGCTGTCACACGGTTCAGCACCTGGTTCAAGAGCTGTACAGGGAAAAGTAGATAGGTTTTGTATTTTCTGGATGGGCCTTCCTGTGAGCAGCATCCAAAGAGCTTTGGGACAGCATGTTCTTATAGTTTGGACTCAGTGCCTGAGAGCTGGTGGATACACAGAGGGAGGCTCATAGCACATATTTAGCTTGGCCCTGGCATAGAAGGAGTGGTACCACATCACAGTGGTTGTACCAGACCAAAACCTTCCAGGAAAGAGTCAGTCTGAGTTCAAGACTGTATGTGAGTACCTTCGACCTAAATCTGAATTCCCACCCGCAGAAGCCAAGCAACTTCTGCAGATAAAAGCTCCTGGCAAGCAGAAGCTGTAGTCCCCAGGACAACCAGAGCCTGTGAAGAGTGAGCTAGGAGCCGTGGACAAAAGCAGTGTCACCAAGGTGAAGCACAGATCAGGTCCTGCCCTACCTGGAGATGAACCTACCAGCTCTGAAGCACAGGATGAGTGCAGAGAGCAATCTACAGAGATGGAATTAGCTGTGATTACACTTAATTAGCCACCATTAGCTCTCACCCAAACCCCCAGTGGGAGGAGCAGGGACGGCTCCAGGCTTGACAGAACTGCTGCAAGCGGAGCGCAATCTCTCAAATGCAGCATCTCTCTTTCTGCTGCCCCAATGCACAACAGCAGAACATTGCACCCCTCTGTGGGCCTGGTCAGTGGTGGGGCACGGCTTCATAACAGCACCAGGTAGCAAGGAGGAAGCTGCAGCACCCCACTCTCTGCTGCACATTCCCCAGCTTGCCTAAGCCACTTGCTAAGAGCCCCTCACTTTCCTCCTCGCTCAGCTGAGCACTTCCCTCATGATTATGGTACCAGACCCTGCTACCTCTTGCTTTGTTTTATCTGCTCAGAGCCCTAAGTATCAACCTTTGGGGTACTACTAAGGTACATCTGACTCTGGCTCTCTGCCAATCCAGCTTGTACAAGGGCAGTCTGCTCTCAGGGCTTTCCAGGATTGCTCATGCTTTAGAAAACAAACTAATTTACTGGAGCCTAATGGGTGTTGTGAGTTGGAATGGGGCAGTCCCAGTCACTGTGGCAGGAAAGTGGAGACATTTGGTACCATATTCTAGGACTGAGGGATAAAGGACCAAGATACCTGCCCAAACACTGGAGTATGTGACCTGTGAAACCAGCTACAGCTCCTCACCTAGAAATACCACACTTTGTCTCCAGACTTCATGACACTGCTTGTCACAGGAGAATTCAGCATTTAGTGGCCCCTCATAAGGAAGATTTAAGCAGCTGTCACCCTCCCTCCCAGTAGAGGCAGAAATCAGCTGTGACCAGAGCAAAGGAGGGGAGCAGTTGATATGTAGAGACTTTAGGGAGCACCACCTGTTCTACAGCAGCTCTAAGTACTACAGCATTTGTAACAGGAGCCCCCAGTTCACCACACATCTGTAGAGAGGGCAGAGGGGGTCCCCCTACCCCTCCAGATGCTGCTTCTTCATGCAGGATGGTACCTGGGCAAGCCTTCGAAGCAGCAGCTCTGATGATGGGCGGTTCCAGTCGAGGAAGATCTCTGGTGCCAGTGTGACAGTCATTTCCAGCACCCTGAGCAGGCTCACTGACAGGTCAAAGCAGGTGGCACACACCTTCAGCTGGCGGCTGTCCACAAAGTTCCTTTCCAGGCGCTCTGCTGCCTGCTGGATCTGCCAAGCAATGGACACAGCTTAAAAAGGAGCCCCTTGCCAAAAGGAGGGGTGCGACCCCCGGCTCAGTGAGTTGTGCCTTGAGCCTTTCTGAGTGCAGGACACAGCACCCATTGAGTGGAGCATCTCACAGCACCACAGGTGGTGCACACCCACCTCCTGAATCATGCCAATGAACTCAGAGAATGCCCAGTTCAGCTGGTTCAGGACGCTGTTGAGGAAGCTGGGGGCCAGGTCGCGGTCTCGGCGCAGCAGGTCTGCCATGTGCTGCTGCAGCAAGGTGGAGGGACACGGCTCTGAAACCAGACAGTGACAATTTCAGTGGGCTGGTCCCAGGGCAGCCATGAGTGAGGGGCAAGGGCAGGCTGAGAGACCAGTCCTGAGCTTGGGAAATGGCTTGTGCCTTACAGTAAGCAGAGATGGCAGGACACTGGGAGCTGGCACAAGGAATATTCTGAGCAGTGATCATGTCTGTTGGGCCTCCCAGCACTTTCCAATGCCAACCTGAATTAGCCAGAGAAGAACCCTCCGTGCTCACTGCTGCCCACATGCAGAGGAGCACTGCCCTGCAGCTCAGAATCCCTCTTGCTCAGCTCTGCAGAGGCCCATGGTCAGCTCAGCATTAATTGCTCCTGATACCAGTGTGTTAGCAGCTGCCCAGAGCAAGCACAGCCACCCTGGCCTCACGTGGCCGTGCCTGTCTGCCTGTGTCTGGGGAGGAAGGTATTCAGTAAATCCCAATCCTGAGAGGCTTCTGTATGGAGCTGAGACTGGTTCTGCCCTTAGCAGGCTCAGGCAGAGATGCCCACACTCCCCAGTGGTTCAACCCAAGCACAGACACATCCCCTTGGTTTCATGGCATCTCATCTTTGGGCTTCCACGCTATCAAGATCACAGATGAGGTCAGGATCAGCAGCTGGGAAGCACAGTCAGGGCTGTGTAGGACACCAACCTCCATGGATGGGCAGGGAAAAGAAGGGGGCACAAATGGGATAGATGCTTCTCACCAGCAGAAGGACCCACTGTCAGCAAGAGACTCACAAAACATCCAGCACTACAAGGGAAGGGTATTGGAGTTCAGCCCAAAACTCAGGGCTTGGAAAGAGAAACTTGAGCAGATTTACCAGCTCTAGGGAAAGAACCCAATGTAACTACATTTTCCTCTACTAGAAGCTATTAGAAATAGCAGGTGAAAACCCTGGCAGCACCAGGGCTGCCATGCCCAGAGGAACAAGTTGTGCTGTGACTGCAGAAGCTCTCTGGGGTTGCAGCCTGCTCAAAGGGCCAGCGTGGGCAAAACAAACACAGGACAACTTCCATCACATCCCTAGGGATCAAGAAGCAAGGCATAACTACAGCCAGATTGCTAGCTGGGATTAACAAAGCCAGGGAGGGATGACAGGAGACAGTCATCTGAAACGGAAACAGGACAAATTATTCTGTGAATACCCACTAGCAAGTGCAATGTTATTATGGAGGACACTCACTGAAACACACAGTGCATAATCACCCCAAGCAGGCCAGTGCCCTGGCTTTGATCCTGCCTAAAAGCTCATTTTTGAGAAGGATTTAATCACAACAAATGTCTTTGATGTCCTACTCCCACCCACATGTACTTTTCCTGCCTTTGGCTACACATGGCCCAGGGACTGGCCAAGACAGATGTCCTTTCTACATATTTATTGGTCCTCTGGGGATTTCTTGCTCAGTGTCCTCTGAAACTGTGTAAGCCTTTAGCATTAAACATGTCCCAGAGCAACATTCCACAGTTCAGCTGTGTGTAGCAGGAGAAATTCAGACAGGAGCTTGGCTCCTACTCGCTTTATTTGTTAATATTTATGCTCTGTAACCCCTTCCTTCTGGTGGTAGAGACAGCAAGATGCTCCTCTCCAGTCACTTCCTCCAGCTAGCTATGATTCCAGACCTTCACGACAATCTTTTAAACGGGACCAGCCCCAGCTAGTGCAGTTTCTCACACTGAAACTGTCCCATCTTTGTCCCTTTTGCCACCCCTCCTGAAGCCCAACATTTCTCCCAAGTTTTCTTCGGAGTGGTGGAATCAGAAGCACACGCAGCATCCAAACCACGAGTGCGTGGCAAATTGGCACAAAGGCATAATGTGATTTTGGTTTTTTCTGGTTTGCTTTCCTCATAATTCCTGTTGTGTAATTTGTTCCTTGGACTGAGCATCAAGCTGCTCTTCTCTAGATTACAATAGGTTGCCAGTTCAAGGATAACCCTCAAGAACTGGTCCTGAGGCACAAGTGGAGAAGCCCAGGAGTCAATGCTGGGGCACACCTTGTCTTCTCTGCCAGTGATGGATGAAGGGGCACAGCCCACTCTTACTCCACCCCTCTACACTTGGTGATGCTGAATTTTATCCATGTTTCTCTCCCACTCATTCAGAATTGAGAGGTCTTTTTGCAGGGCGCTAAGCTTTTAGTGTCTTCTTTTCCCCAGCTTCCCTTCAACATGTAAAAACTGCTTTTTGTTAAAACTGCTGATGTATGAGTCCCTTTCCAGCCTTCAAGTACCCAAGTAGCTCTATAGGCAGAGATCACCACTCCTCAATAAAGAACTCTGCATGTTGTCCTGCTGATCTCTTGCCAAATCCTCTTTTACTAACATTGCAAGTCAGGACAGATCTCAGGATGAACTGCCCAGCCAAAGTCTACCTCATTTGAAGGCAGCTTTGGTTTTTTGATGGATGCTCCTATGCTTGCAATAACTTGCTTTATCCTGATTTTTAGCCAATGACTATTTCCTCACAGTCTTTTTTTCAATGAGTGGTGTGATTCTGCAATTCTGGGTTCTTAAATGCTTTCCCTGGTGCTGGAAGACTGTGCTAGATTATAAGAGCATTAAAAACTGGTGCCTTTTGTCAAGCCTCTCCACAGGTAAATAGGTTATTGAAACTTCTAAAGTTAACACCAGGAAACAATTATTTCCCTGGCTTTTGTTGATCCCAAGAGGACTCTGAATCTAAAGATGCTGAGATCACTGCTACGCTTTGAAAGCAACATAAGGAACAAGCCCTGGAATACAGCACAAACAGCTTCATTCCTTGCACGAATTCCCAGATGAGGTAATTATTACTGGCATCCAAAACCCAGTCCTGGTGCCGTGTCCATCTTTATTTGCAATATATTCACCTCTGCTGGGGCAGTTACCACTGCCCTCCTGGACAATGCCACATCCCTTATGTGTCCCTGCAGGTAAGGATGTCATTTCACGGGGAGCCTGTGGATATTCAGTGATGGGGAAACTTTCTGGATCCTGGCACCAGTAAGTGCTTCATCAATACTTCGAAATTTGTACCTCCCTAACACAAAAGCCACTCGATCTTGGCTTATCCTTTGTTATGACAGATAAACATCAGTCATTGGAACAGAAATTGGCAGTTTTCCAAGGCTAGAAATTTTGACCTCAATATATTCAATGTAGGCAACAGAGCGTGGAACCAAGGGGTTATAGACACATCCGATGTTTCCACAACAGAAATTTCCCTGCAAAAATATCAACAAAAAATAGAAGAAAATCTAGGCAGAGAAAATGGTGAATTAAAACATAGAGTTCTTTAAGAAGATCATAAGGGAGCCAGGAACCCTAGTGCTCTAGTAAGCACCTGGGTTAAAAGGGCATGATGAAGCAAAGACATAAGTTAAAATATGAGGTAAAGTGAATGTAACATAGGCAATGGTAGGGAAAAGCAAGGAGAAAAGGCATAAGAGATGGAGAAGACATAAAAAACATCCTTGACTGACCACGGTACTGCAAAGTTTTTTCAACTATAGGAAAAAAATATAGCAGAATTATTTAATAGAAGTAGTAATGGCAGAAAGTCTAACAGTAGCAGAAGCCCATTATTAGAGAGAGTTAAAAATTAATAAAGCAGGCGAAGTGGAAGCCTTCAATAAGTGCTCCTACTAGATAATGGTAAAGAAGCAGGGTCACGTACTTTCATCACAGGAAGGTAATTATGTACTTTTATAGTTTGCTAATGACCCAGCAAGATTTATAACAGGGCTAATTGTAAGACCTCTGGATCAGCAACCTGAGGGGGTCTCTGGACACAGCAGCATTTACAGCAGAGCTTGAGCACAGAAGGGGAAAGCCCCAAATGGACCCGATTCAGAAGCAAAGCAGCTCCACCCAACACTAATTTGAGTTTTTGAAAGGCTTCAGATGTATCTGTGAGTCCATGTCAGTGTGCCCATTACGAGATGCATTTAGAGAGGACCAAAGGGAAGGCTGCAGGGTGAGGCACAAGGAAAGCAGGCAGCACTTGTGGGATGAGATATCCATAAGGTTGAGTGTGATGGCCTTGGGATCCATGTGTGCCTCCAAAACAAAGCCCTGGCAAACCAGCTAAGGTGAGTTTTGGCTCCATGACTAGCACATCAGGGAAGGTTCCCACCTGCATGACACCAAAACCTCTGGGGCTGCTAAAAACATGGCAAAGGTGAACACCCCACAGGGCTTACAGAAAAGCAAAACCCCTTCCTGAATAAGACAGAGGCCACACATTTTTCACCACTGAAAAGCAACAAGAAATGAGTTTACCCTGTTACACAAGTGCTTCTGAAGAATAAAATGCTGGAAAACAGAGAAAGGCAGAGCAGCAGCAATGGAAGACAGAAGGTGAGGTTAGGTAGGGGAAATGGTTTCAAACTGAAAGAGAGCAGGTTTAGATTGGATATCAGGAAAAAATTCTTTACTGTGAGGCTGGTGAGGCCCTGGCACAGGTTGTCCAGAGAAGTTATGGACGCCCCATCCCTGGAAGTGTTTAAAGCCAGGTTGGACGGGGCTTGGAATAACCTGGTCTAGTGGAAAGTGTCCCTGCTCATGGCACGGGGTTGGAACAAGAATGAGCTTTAAGGTTCCCTCCAGTCCAAACCATTCCTGACTCCCATCAGGAACCATAAGATATGGATTTATTTCTGAGGGCGAGCAATCACTGTCAGAAGGGCTTGGGCAGTTCAACTACTACCAGTTGATGCTTTTGATGTTGTCAGATCAAGGTGGGATCTCCTCCTGAAAGTCCTCTTCAGCTTAGGCGATTTGCTGGACTTGGGAAGGGGACATGGGTGAACTCTCTGGCCCGTGTTGTACAATATCTCAGCTCGATGATCTCATGGTCCCACCTACCTTCCCTCCAGCTGATGGGTGCGTGGGCAGAAGGCCTGGGGCAGAGCAGCCCTGTGATACAACCTGAAGCCACCCTGCCCTTGCTTTTCCAAGTCAGGCTGGGCCCAGCTTGGCATGGAGCCACTGTGCATGCCAGGACAGCACCTGGCCTTGCCTACAAGTCATGGTGAAAGCAAAACAAATCCCTGCAGCAGCCACCGAACACAACTACCCCAGCTCTGAACACAGCCTTGCCTGCTCTCAGGAGCCAAACTGAGGCAGAGCTGTGCTTGCATGAGAGCTGCTCAGTGCCAGCAGAGCTGAGGAATAACTCTGGGGACAAGCAGGGGCACAGATGACCTTTATGAGCCTCTGTGCCCTCGGGCTAAGCAAGGCAGCATCCACTGCTCACCTTTGGCAAAGAGTGAGCAAAAGGAGCACGGGCAAAGGGCAGTGGAGGAGACCAGGTAGTCTGTGCTCTGGGTGTTTCATGGATGTTGTGAGGCAGCATGAGCAAACCTTCCCCACCTGTGCAGTCTTCCAAGGAAGCATCCCAAAAGCAGGACAAGGCTGGAGCACCAGTGAAGAGGCATTTGCCCACACTCCCTTCAGACTGGCCTGCAGCAGCAGACCCAAACAGGGTTTGCCTTAGCTCAGCCTTAGCTCAGCAGTTTGTCCCATTGACTCTGCCAGTGCTCAAATTGCAACAAGGTGAAGACTGAGGGGTGTGAAGGGGAGTGGGGTCATCTCCTCCTCCTTTCCTGGGCAGCATCTCAAGGACACCTCTGAGACCCCTGTCCCTCTTCAATTAAATCAGCACTCATTATTGATTTGGTTGAGCCTTAGAATAGCCCTCCCAAGAGTATGTCCCCAGTAGCCAGCATGGCCCACTCTGGGCTCAGGTTCAGACTGTGTGGAGCCACACGATGTGTGGAGCAAGGCCTCGACAGCTGAGGAACTCTGCTGCTGCCCCAGAGCTCTCCAGGATGGGCTGAGCTCAGTTATCACCCACAGGACCAGTGACAGCCACTTGGTGGCTTGGTTGTGCAGTAGGAAAGTGAGGGAACAGCCATGACATCCCTCCTGCGTGTGTGCGGGGGCTTCTCCATTGGCCTCCAAGGATGAGAGGAATCCCTCCAGCAGGGCTCTGACCCCAGAGGCAGGTAACCTTGGTAAACAGGTGCAAGAGCAGGTCCATGATGCAGCCTCAGAGACTGACACATGGCACAGCCCTGCTGGCTTCTCCTAGGGATGGAACTGAGGAAAACAATCACTTGTGAAGCTCTCTGCCTACAAAGAAGGGGCTCTCTAGGCAGAAGAGGGGAAGCAGGGAGCTCTCTAAAGCTACTCCACCAGACAAGAGAAGGTCACACAACAAACTTACTCTGGAAACTAGCAACAGAGAGATCTCCTGGGCACCATGGGCAGGAGAGAGAAAAGAGAACAAGAGTGCTGTTAGAACAGACAGGCAGCTCCCTGGCCAGGGCTCAGCATACACCTCCATGTGCCACCTGTCCTCTGTCCCCCAACCCTGCATAGCTCTCCAGGAACAAAGTCTGGCACAAAGCCTTTTCCATAGCAGAGGGGGAACAGGAATGTATCCACACAAGCCCAGAACCTGTGAGGGTTAATCTGGGGACATGCTCTTCAGCTCAAGAAAGGCAACTTCTCCCCACATCTTTCTCAGCCACAACAGAGCTGAGAAACCCCTCAGCTCAGTGACAGTGCTGAGGGCCAAACTGCAAAGCCAAAGGCAGGATAGGCTCTGCCAGGCTCTGAGAGATGCCAGGACTAAATACTCCCTGATTGCAAACTTATACAGTGCCCCATCTCCTTGGGCACCTACTCCTTCTCACAGGGCACCTGTTGCTTGGCAAATAAGCTCTTCCTCACAGCAGCTGCTCACTATGCACATCACAGAGCTTTCTCTCAGGCTAAAACTCTGGTAAGGATGCAGTCCTGAGCCTCTCTCCTCTCCTTTGGAGGGTAGAACCCCTACTTATGATGGATCTAAGTCACCATTTAGCATGCCTGAACCACCAGTATAGAGGCTGGGGATGGCTAGGCTGTAAAAACCAGGCCTGGATATTTGGCCAGGAACACCCTACTTTGGCAGCTATCCCAACAGCTGGCCTGGCCCATAGGGACAGCTGCTAAGGGAAAGGCTGGCTCTCCCTCAGCACCCATCACAGCCCCGGCTGCCCATCCCTGCCCCACTCACTCTGCAGGCTGGGGAGGCTGGCATCCTCAGGCTTGGTTTTCAGCAGGTGTGGGAGCCGTGTGTATCTGTACCCAAAGCCACAGCCCTGGCAAAAGAGGTAAGGAAAGATCTTAGAGGCAGAAAAACAGTTTTGCTGCTACTGGAAAGTGAAATGTTCAGTGTCCCAGCAGTCCCAGGTGCTGAGAGGGACAGGGATGCAGGATGCTCACCCGCCACAGCCTGACGAGGATCCAGTTGGTCTGTGCCCAGGGTCGTTGCTCATAGGGAGCCAGGAGGTTCTTCATCATGGAGATCCTCCTGCCAGACAGGGACACAGGTCAGCCCACAGGGTTTGGGAACAGGAGATTGAACAGGACACACAGTAGAACCCACGGAACTGGGGCAGAGCAAAGCAACTGGTAAAAGGGTGACAGAAGGCTCTCAAATCAACTCCACCACCCTGCTGGCAACTCGTGGACCCACAGTGGTGCTTGGCAGCCCTCGCTCACCCAGCCGTGACACCACCCCAGCCCTGCCCCAGCTCCCCAGGAACAGGCAGGGCAGCACTTACTGCTCTTCTGGGATCCTCTCTACAGCACTCAGCGAGTGGGGGTAGCAGACGTAGCTGGCCAACGCCTGCATCAGGGAATCCCGGATGTCTGAGGAGGAATGAAAAGGGACTAGGCCAGGCACCCAGTGACACACAGCACACCAGGGAGCACCTGAATGCCAGGGGCTGGGAGAGACTGGCCCTCATGTAGAGGCATATTGTCCCTGCTGACATGGAGAGCATGCTTAGGCTCAAGCAGCTAAGAAATAAGCCCAGACTGGATATGCAGGTACCTGGGACATGAGTCCTGCTCTCAAAAGGGTGTCCTAGGTCATGTATTTACCCTGCAATAAGCAGGATAAGGACAGTGCCCAGCCTCATTTTAAATGTGGAGGCATAAGCACTGAGCAGATTCAGCAGACAGATCCTAGCAGAAGGTCGGTGAGCCACTGGCAGTGGCACTGTCCAGACCTGTGTCATTATCACCCCAAAAGCAGAGGAATGCAGCCTTACCTGTGCCCACAATCCTAGAGTCAGCAAAATGCTTGGCCAGGATGGCAGCGAGGCGCATAAGGGTCTCTTCATAGCCTGCAAGAGAAGGAGGGAGCAGGGCTATGGCAACAGCCTGAGGGGCAGCCCTGTGGTCCCAGTGCTCCCATGGACACGGCACAGGTCATGGAATGAATTTCTGCTATAGCTAACTGCAGCTTAGTGTGTCTAGTTGTCAAAACAGAGAGCTGGGAAGACACATTCACCTCCAGAGAGCCTCTCACCTCAGTCTGCAGAGTCTGAAACAGTTACTCAAGGAAAGACAAAACCATGCAATCAAGCTGGATGGCAAGGGAGAAGTGCCTGGTGCAGAAGAGGCTGAGCAACACAAAGAACACCCTAGGTCTATGCAGAAATGCCATGTCAGCCTGCACGCCCTGTAGAAACCTGCTACTGCTCAAGTCTGCTCTTGCCCAAACAAGAGCAGTTCAGCTATGTCCTGGTGGGAATAGAAGCTTTTGTTACCTTCAAGGACTCTGGAAAGCACAGGACTATTTGCTAAGAGCTCAGCAAGGTCATTTAGCCAGAAAAGCACAGAATGTGCACAGACAGAATTCACTTAAACACAGACTCTTGGCATCAAGTGGGTGGTCATCTCCATAGGAACATCTTCAAATCCCAGGGGATTTCAAAAGCAGTCCCAATTTCTGCACTCATGGCACATCCTCTCCCAACCAGAAACTAGAAGGTGGTAGAAATTGCTGAGGCAATCACATCTTACAGCACCCAAACCCATTTCCTGATACCTCCTTGGAAACAAAATCCACAGTCGCCAGTGGTTTTTACTACAGCCAGTCCTGTGACAGCTTCAGACAAGGCATGGGCTCCCTACCTGAGCACAGTGACCACAGCTCACCACCTGCCTCACAGCTCAGACAATTCACTGGTGCAGCACATCACAACCAGGAATGGACACAGAAGGGAAGATGCCCAACTACTGCTTCACCGTAAGCATGTGGATTGCTTTAGATTTTATCAGGCCAGAATCAGGAAGCTGTCCCCCTCCCCTCACCTGGAAGTTCCTCCATGCTGTTGACAGGGCTGAAGTAGTTCTTGAGTGCACTGTAGCTGTTCATAGCCACGCTGAGGTAGAATTCTGGCATGAAAGCAAAAAGCGAGCCTGTCCTGTCGCCGTGCTCGATGGTGCGGATGCACACTCGCAGCAGCCAGTAGATATCCAGCATCTTCTCCTGCCCAGAAAGAACACAACTCTCAATCAGCTGACAGCTTCTCTTGGGGAAAACAACAACCTGCATCACACTCAGATCTCAGAAACATCCCCAATTGGAGATCTTGCTCAGACACCTTACTGCTCTCAGTTCAGTAACCAGATCTGTGCCATTTGGTCTTTCCATAAAACCACAGAAGTGGCAGTGGGAAGAAACAATCAGAGATCTCTGCACCAACCTCAAGCTCAGAGCATGACTCTCACCAATGTGATGGTTTTGTCTCACCAAGCCTTGAGACCCTCCAAGCACTACTCCTTACCAGGGCATATGCAACCACACAGGCCTGGCAAACAAGCATGTGAGTTTTGATTCCAAGGATACTGCTGAAGAAAAGCAGGCACTGGCACTTTCCAGAAAGCTGCTGGAAAGAAAGCTGGTCCACTGTAGGGATTAAATAGGAACAGGCTGAAAGCTCTTTGCAGTAGGCAGCCACAGCCCTTCAGGTCCTGTGCCAGCCATTCAACCAGACTTTTTGTCCTGAGGAACATCAGCCTCTTGTCACTCTAAACAAAAATTAGAAGGTCCTAAATTAAAAACAGGAAATTTAAGGTCATCTACATAACTTTAGGCTATAAAAATGGGCGCCACCAAAGCCATAAAAAGACTAAGTATTATTTCATATCCTGCAATGCCAAGAAATAGCATAAGCAATAGCTACTTGCATAAAAATAGATGGAGAAGGGTTACACTTCTAATTTAAGAAAAAATTAAAATCAGAGGTGTATATAAGGCATTTCATTTGCTTTTCTAAAGTATGCTGTTACCACCTTTGGGAGGTTTTCATGGGTTTATTCTGTAAATTAGGCCGAACTAGGGTAAATCAACTAAACTGACTAACAGACTTCTTTTTCTCAACACTGACCAACATCTCAGCCAAACTGTTACTTTCAAGATAAAAAGCAACTATGCAGAATAACATTAAGGTTTAAAAAGCTGCTTTGGCTTTATTAAGGTTGAAAAAGCTGCATTTGACTTTAAGACTTGAAAACCTCAAACATCATTTCAGGCATTGCCAAGCTAGAAGAAAGCTTACACCAAGAGGATATAAAGATCTGATTAGCCAGTGAGATAGATAAATACAGTGCTGTAATAAAATAAGCTGTAATTTCCACAGGGATGTTTCGAAGGTAGAATTATGTCCTTTAAAACTTCGAGTGTTTTCAAGCAGCAGCACTCCCTTTTGTCTAACTTTGAATCCCCCAGAATAAACCAGTGGCTAATTCCCGTGAGGAAGGAGCAGCCTCTGCCGTGCTCTGACACATCAGCAAAGAGCAGGACTTTGTCTCTAGACAGAATCAAGCTCTTTCTCTCCAACAGCAGCAGCTGTGATCATACAGATGAGATCCTCCAGTGCACTCAATTCCCAGAGATGCCAGATCTGCTGCATGGATGCCTCCATTGGGAAGGAGCAGGGACTTGATATGACTGTGAGATGGAGCCCTGAAGGCACAGGCTCCTGGTGCAGCCACATTCCACAAGCTTACTGGGCTCCTGGGGCACATTCCTGCTCTCCCTGCAGGCCATGCAGCCCAGGATAGCAGCACAAGCCACAGACAGGGAAGGCTGTAAACTTCACTCCCAGATGTTGCAGATTCATCAGGAAAGGTGACATTGCAGTCCTGGTTTAATATAACAGTGGATCTTCTAGAGATATGAATGGTGTTCCTGCATGAGCCAGCACAGTGATACCTGCAGTGCACCCTGGTGATGCCACTCAGCCTTTCCAGAAGAGTCTGGGAAGAAAGAATTATTTTCTGGCAAGCACAGGCTATGCTAATGCAGCTCAAGAGCTTCTGCCTTGCAATCCTGCTCTGGAGGCAAGGAGGGAACAAGCAAAGAGCTCATAAGTCAGGATCAGCCACTGCAGCTCTGCCAGATATGTTCATAAGGACTCCCTTCCTTGTTTACTCGCTGGGACACACAAAAGCAACAAAAGAGACAGGGCAAGGCAATAGAAGTCGGGAAAAAATCAGCAAAATTGCTTGTGAGAAAACAGACCAGAGCTTTTGTCCTGGAAAATGGTGAATTTGGGGGAAAAGAGACAACCTGTGCAAATATCCACTGCATTAGTAAATGTGGAATATATTTTCTGCATGGGAACCAAGTGAAGAAGGGGAGAACAGCTTAACAAGAACCCCTTGACTTGGATCCCACAGATTCCAGGAAGAGCTGAGATCCCCCTGTGACACAGCACAGCCCAGGGAAACAGTTCACAGCAGCCTGTATCCTCTGGTATGTCTTGAGAGGATCCTCTTGAGAATCTCCCTCTGATCTGCACCCTTTTGTCTGCAGTGCCCTAAGGGAAAGCCTACAGCACCATGCGCAGCTCAGATCAGACTGGGCTGATCACTATGGGACACTGGGGGACAAGAGAGAGGCCAAGCCTAGAAAGGAGTCTCTGATACACAACAAGGGAAAAAGCAGCCCCAGATCATTGACACTGCTTCAACACCAGGAAAATGACACCTGATATGTGGTATGTGAGCCAAGCAGCAGAGATACAGAGGCTCACTGGTCTCCTTTCAGCTGCTCATGTTCTACTCCTGCCCACCTTTGAATAAATGGTGACATTTATCCAAGCGAGGCGCCGGCTCAGGTGGTTGAGCTTCTCAGAGAAGACCTTTTGGCTCTTCAGCAGCTCCTCATGGATGTCTCTCCTCTGAAAAGAGTGCAGAGATGTGAGGGCAGATGTCACTGCCATTTATAGCATTCTTTTTCAGTGCTGGACAAACATTGCAAAAGCATATACCACCTTGGGGCTAGCTAGGGAGTACTGGCAGGGGGGAAAGGAGTCAGCAGCCTTTCTGTGGAGGGAGTGGGAATCAGTGCTATAAAAAGCATTTATCAGTTCCAGCTGAAGCCCACAAGGCTTGATGCAGCTGCTGGTACAGTTGGGCAGCAGCACTTCACCCTGCCAGATACGGAGGCTCTGCCAGAGAAGGAAGCTGGGAATCCAGAGACACTTACCTTCTTTGGGCAGCGGCTGATTTTTTCCTCTGTGTCTTTCAGTGCCATGGCATATTCATTCACATCATCTGACACACCAACCATCTGAAAAGCAGCAGGTTTCAACAATAAATAAGGTTTTTTTTCTCCTAAACATACAAGCATGCAACCACAACCCCAATGGAGGCTGGCAGAAGGACAGGGCACACACAGGCCTTAAATAAGCAGAAAACAGAGTTTGTGTAGAAGCATGGATGTTGGGGGAATGGATTCCTGCACAGCATGTACCACTTACCTTCCCAAGCTGCTGGTGGACACTGAGGTTGTACATCATCACTATCCCATCCAGGACTTCCAGGAGGGAGTTCTCAGTGATGGGCAGCTCTGGCTCTTCTGGGGGTCTGCCCAGTGAGAGACCCTCATTTCCATGGGTGCCTTCAACTGCAATGCATTCCCAAGACAGGAAAGAAGTTCTTAGCAAGGCATTTTGGCACCTCAGCTTCTGCCTGCTCCTCTCTGAAGCCAAAGCCCTGCTGTGCCTCTATAACATGGAGCTTCTTCCCAGCCCATGGGATCCACTAGATACCACTAGATACCACACTACCACACCATTCTCATCTTGCTGCCAGCACCAGGCTGACCTGTCAGATCTGTTCAGACCCACCCAAGTCATGCAAATTCCACTTCCTCAAGCTCTGTGCATGCTTCAGAGGCCTGCCTGGTCCAGCCAAACAGCAACGGTGCTGCTGCTGCACACATCATCCTCTGGCTGATCTGTCTTCAGAGCAAGTGTGGCTACAGCTGCCTTTGAACTGCCTTCCTGCAAAGTCTCACAGCATTTGAAGGAAGCAAGGCAGCCTCTCTTTACACACAGAGGGTGACAACATCACCAGTGTCATGTTCAGGATGGCAAAGGGGTCTTTTGAGTGTCAGCATGCCCTGGGAATGGGAAGGAGCAATGCTGGCAGGAAGGAGATTGCATTCCTCTGGGGAGCTGGAAGATGCCATTCTGCCAGGGCCTAGCTGGGCCATGCCAGCACACAGCAGGAGTACTCACTGTCCTCCCTTGTGCGCTGCTCCACGCGCAGTGTGAGCACTTTGATCTTCTCCAGGGTGCCAAGGGGCCTCCGCGGGTTCATCAGGCTCACGGCTGCCGTGCTCAGGAAGCGATTAGCCCGGCCCAGCGTGGGGGAGCTGAGCCAGGCAGGCCTGGCAAGAGCTCCACCAATGGCCAGGGCAGCAGAGGGACGCTGGGACTAGAAGGAAAGGAAGGGAGAAACAGTTCCAGCTGTGTTTGGCTGCCTGCTGTTCCTCCCTTGACCCTGCAAAGATGTTGGTACAGATGCACAGTGGCCACTGGAAGATGAGCAGGCAGGGTAACAAGCGGCTAAGTCTTTCATCCAAGGGCACATGCCAGGCACAAACAGCAGCCCTGCACAGCACGGCTCTGTCTGCAGTTGCCTTGCACCTTTCCAAATGCAAGCACCAAGAGTTCCCACGGAGGGGAGGCAGCACATTCACATCAGTGGGGAGTGAGAGAGCAGGGCGCAGAAAGTTTTGCTACTCAAACTTGGTGCACCCAGGACCCCGCTGATCTCCAGTGATTCTCATCCAAGTGCAGCTGTTTAGCTGGCTGCCAATGGACAGGTTACAGTCCTGGCTCAACCCTGCCTTGCTGTGAAGCAAAGCCCTTCCAGCCAGAGGCTGAATTTGCTGTCCCAGCACCAGGGCCCCCACACTCACCTGTGCTGCTGATGTTGCTGATTCCTCATCTTCATCAAGATCATCCATAGTCACTGCCTGCAGCTCTGCAGGGTCGATCAGGATGTTGGCTTTTGCAGCCAGGTCATCTGCACAGAGCACACCAAAGCAGCCATGAATGCAGGAGTCACTCTTCATTTATCACGAAGAAGGCTCATCCTCTTTCCTCCTTCTCAGCAGTAGAGAAGCAACCAGAAAAGTTGGATGCTCTATCAGAACAAGCTCACCTGTCCCAAGCTTCCTTACATGGAACAGATCTGCCCTTAGGAAAAGAACAAAGACCAAGCAGCAGCAGGTGCCGTCCTCCCAGGACCTATTTCTGCTCCTGGTCCTACCAGCTACAAATAGGTAACTGAGGAACCACCAGGGCCGAACTGGACCAGGGCAGGAATGGCAACTCTCTGCCTGAGACCATCTTTTAAGCATCCAGCTCCTCAATGCTGTCCCATGATGTGTCCCTAAGTCACTAGGACTGAAACTCACATCCAGAGGAAGGCTATGCTGATGGCTACACTGTACAAAGCCTGAAGAATGTATTCTTTAGTCCACAGCTCTGTCTTTAAAGCTGGCCAGGATACCGTAGTAAGAAACCAGAGGAGATTACATGGTTCTTAAGCTAAGTAATCTCATTTTGAATAGCCAGGGATCAACATGAGACAGAGAAAATGGTCCTCATCTTGCAAACACTGGGGAAGGAGAAGAGACATCTGAGGCAAAGGCAAGAGTCACATTAGCCAGAAACCAGAGACAAACCAAATCCAAGGAAATGGCAAGGGGTTTCTAACCCTTGCACAAGGCAGGCTTTGGAATCCTATGCTAGAGGAGTGTGCTGCATACAAACACACAGCTGCATTATATACATAGGGCTGCTTCTCCCTGCCCAGAGAGGTGCAAGTAAATCCTGGGCATCCTTTATGCCCAGCACAGCCCAGTTGATGGTCAGTCCTTTGACAGCCCTTGGCTGTGGTGCAGCAAGAGCACCACACCAGAGGGTATTCCCAGACTACTGCCTTCCTTCCAACTGCCATATGCCCAATTCAGGGATACAAACAGTAAACTGTTAACTTAAAGGATACTCCTTTAAGGAGTATTTAAGGAGTATTTAAGAGGTGGGGTGTCTTCATCAGAATAATTTGAATCTCATTAAAATTCAAGTCTACTCTCCCTGAATTTAATCAACATTCATTACCCACAACTCCCTCCCTGGAATGTCTTGCATTAATTCCATCCAAGACCTGGATTCAGGTATTGGCAATGAGAGCACTTACCTTTCAGAGTCTTCTTAAGATGAGATAAAAGACCTCCAAGTCGCTGAAGATCAAAATAATCCACCTTCCCATTATAGAAGAGTTGAGGAGGGACATAGGCCTCTGAAACAGAGGAGGAGATTCGGTTTTTTCCATAAGTTCCATGCACAGGATCCACAAAGTCATGTAAGAACTCCTAAAGCAGACCCCAGAATCCACATTTAGGACTAACATTTAGGGACAACTTTTGTTGTAATAAAAGCACAAGCCATTAAGGCAGAGGTGATTTCCACAATGGAGCAACCAATGGCCATCTACAAGACTGCCAGCACTTCCTCCCTCCAGACACTGGGGTAAACTGGATCATCAGAAAACTTGGCAGCTCTCCACCTGGCTACTCCAGCTCTGCCACTTAGTCCCACAGGGATAGTAAGGCACTTACTGAGTCTAGAGATAAAGTCAGCCTAAAGTAAGAAAAGGAAATGCCAGTGAGGTCTAACGGTGGGAAAGCAACTGGCACTGATTTAGTTTCCCCTTAATTCTACAGTTTGGGAACTCCAAAACCAGAAAAGTATCTTCCCCAAAACTCTGACTAAGTAATCACTGAGCTGCCCTTCTATAGACCAACAGTCAATATTGGACTCTGCTCCAGAGCAGATGGGGGAATAGCAAACAGTACAGGTGTCCTTTTGCAAGTCTCAGATCTGGATGTTAACTGGAATAGATCTGCACACCGGAACTTCCCAGGGTGATGGAAGGCTCAAGCACTCATTAGAGACATAAAATTTCCAACATCCTGGAGAGTAATGCCAAGAGGCAAACCTTGTCCTAACCACAGAAAAGCCTGCAAAGCCTTTCCCCCAAGCCTCACCTTCACTGCTCAGGGAAGCTGGGGTCTTTGCTTTGTGGCCATCCCAGAAGTAGCGCAGGGCAGCGATGAGCCGGTGCAGAAAGCACACCATGTACTCTGGTGGGCACAACACAGCCAAGTTCTAGGGCAAGAATGAGAGTCCAGCATCAGGGAAGGTGTGAAAGTGCATCTCAGTCCAAAGGGCTACATAGAGCAGGCAGAAACTTTTGTGCTCTCAGCCTTGGTAGCATGTCTAGCTTGCAGCTCTGGCAGAGAGCCCAGACCTGATGGTGGGCAGCAGTTTCCACTTCCAGGAATTCTTGAGACACCTCTGTCAGTGATCTGACAGACAACGAGGGATAACACACACTCCGTCATGAAAGATGGGGCTGATGATGAACACGGATGCAGATGAAGAAAGGGCTTCCCACAACAGATGCTTGCCTTCCAATGCTTCAGGCCAACAGCCTGACCCAGGCCCAGAGGAAAACTCCTCACCCAGGCAGTGAGGAGGATGCCAAAGCCAGCAGCCCCACTGTGGCAGAGCACTCAACAGCCACACTCCCTGATGGGCTATAGGAGGATATTCATCTCCCACCGAAGACTTCCCAAAGACCATCTTCCCATAAATCACTGCATGGAACTTATCTAACTTGCCTGGTTTCTAGCCTCAGATCTCCTCACCCCCTGCCATATCCAGACTTCAGTGGATCAACTGCTGGAAGCAGCCTAGCCAGAAGGGCAGAGTTCCCAGCCAAAAGGTGCAGAGAGCCCTCAGGGTCAGGCTTGCAGGAAGGTTGTCCCTCTGACTTACCCCTCTGTTGCTAGCGTTTTCCTGAAGAAACTTGCGGAATTTGTTTAGGAAGATGTATCTGGAGGCTTCCCCCTGGCAGAAGGAAAACCGCGTGGTAAATCTAGGATTTACAAAGCACATCATACGAAGATACTGCCACAATAGACCCACAGAGCACTTACCCCTCCCCTGTCCTTGTTGTTCAGCAGCAACTTCAGTATCTGAACCTGGAGACTTTCCACCACTAAAAGGAAGACACAAATCTGCCATCAGCAAACATACACTGGAGAGCAACTACCCCTCTTAAACCCAACTGCAGCACCAGACAAGGGGCCCAGGAAGAACTAGTGACAGAAGAAAGATAATCCCACCACTGAGAACTTTCTTCTCCACCTAGCAAGAAATTAATCCATAGTTAAAAAACAATGCATAGGTTTGCTCCTGCCCCATCATGGGGGACTGAAGATCTGTGCAGTGGGGTCCCAGACAGAGAGAGCACAGCTGGCCCCCACCTCTGTACCACAGCCTGTCCTGGCAGGAAAACAGCTGTACTTCAGAAAGTGAATGGGATTTAGAAACAGCTCCTGGTGCACAAAAGGTTTGGGATCTTGGCAACTTCCCTCCTTCCTCACAAACCTTCAATGCGTTTCTTGAGCCGCTGGCAGCCTCTTTCATAAGCCCGACGCCTCAGTCTCTCCTCAGCGCTCTCCTCCTTCACCTCCTTACTCTCCTTGCCCTGGTTGGGGACAGACACTGATTAGTAGGAGACCACTACACAGGGTAAATGTCTTGCTAGAAATTCCCTTAAACAATATGAAATGGAGAGCACAAACTCCTTGAAACAATGTGTGTGACTGCAGCTGGCAGCACAGCTAAACAGGTCTCTTCCAGCTTTGTAATGAATAAAGGCAGGAGATCTTTTGAGGACACCCAGTCAACCCAGTAATTCCTTACATACTGTGGGTTCCCTTCCAAATCTGTTGCCACAGAAAACTGTCCTCTCTCCCCTGTCTGAGCATCACCCCTTAAACATACTCTCTAAGGGGACAAAAAAGACAGCTCCAGTTCTCACACTGTAGGACACACCAGTACTAACACAGCTGGAAACAGGGGCCATACAACTTCCTCGGCCAGAAAAAGATGCCAATGGCAGGTGACAACATTTCCTCAGCCTCCTCGGTGGAAGTGCCTGTACTCACCTCCTTGGTGAAGCGGTTTGGCCACCACGTGGTGGGAATGAGCTCCTGCAAACCTGCCTCCTCCACGCGCAGAGGGCTCTTGATGTAGAAGAACACAACAGAACGGAGCACGTCAAAGCTGTGCTGGAGTTAAAGCAAGCACAGAAGCTACAACGGGAAAAGGTACAGGACACGTCTCCAGAGCTGTAGTGAGAGACTCCTTTCCAAACTGCAAGATCCAGAGGCCTCTCCTTCCTGGAGAAGCCCCACACAGCTAACACAGCTGCTGTCCTAATGCTACCATATAGCTGGACTGCTCTGAAAGTGGTTTTGCTCCAGGGATATTAGAGTTCAGTCAGGTAGAAATGAGCCCCTCTCTGTTACTGGGATGTGAGCTATAAAACACTACTCCCTCCCCTCAAAATATGTGTAGGGAATGGTGTCAGGCAGAGGAGACCTGAGAAATTACCTCCCTAGACAGGGTGGCTTCTGCCTCCCTGGACCTACAGGTCCTTGAAGTGCCTTTGGCTGCATTATTGAGGGAAAGGAAAACTGAGACAGGAGGAGACACAAAGGATACAGAACATTGCTGAGTAGGTATTTCCTAGATTTCTCATGCTTCAAGACTGCAATGGTGAGCCGGAGGTAGTGGATCTAGGAAAAAAAGAAGCAAAAGTGACTCCATCTGCAGAATATACAACTCTGCAATAGCTACAGTGTGACGAAAGTGCCATCTTTGGATCAAATAACTACAGAATCTATAACATCATGTACCTTTGGAAAGGGGATATAACAGAAGCTGGCTAGTGACAGATTCCTGGGGATTCAGAAGTGCAAACTCACTTGTAATCCCAGGTCTGGGATGATGGGGGAGAACCTGTAAGCCCGCAGCAGGGACATCAGTAGCTGCTTGAGGCACTCATGCACTTCATACTCCTGAGAAAACAAGAAACACATTGAAGAACAACAGCAAGGAGTCAGGAACAGCTATAGCTCACAGAGTGAGACCTTGGAAGGAAGCATTCATTTATGAACTGAAAAAGCAGGTGCTCTAAACCCACAGTGTCCCTCTGACTCCACAGGAGAGAGTCCAAGCAGAAGTTGGTGCAAGTGCTTTGCTTACAGGAAATAAGTTTCTGCAGAAACTCCAACCCCCAAAAAAACAAAAAGCCAAAGTCTCAGGCCCTGTTTGTTGGGCAGTCACCAGTCCTCTTATTCCCTGACTCTACCCAAGACACGGTGTTGGTAGAACCAACCCAGAAGAGAACGAAGTAAGTCTTGGGTGAATGTGATGAGAGAAGAGTTGTCTGTTTGAATCCAACTCATAGACAACTAGCAGGACGAGAGCCAACTCTTTCACAAACACAGCAGTCCTACAGGGAGTCCAGTTTCACTGCTGAGATGATGGGCCTGAAGGAGTCATGACATTTTTTCCATTAAACTTCTCACGGCAGCTGGCTGGGCCAGTGCCCACATCTGTTAAGTGTCACCCCAAAGGGCAGACGTGCAGTCTCCAAGCAGATCCCTGGCAGTGACTGGCTCTGTGTAACCACCCAAGCAGCAGCAGCTTCCTAGCTGCCTCAAACATGTGTCCCAGGAAGGAGTAAGCTCATCCAGCGTGGATGGGAAGGGAAGTTGGAGGAGGCTTTTCCCCAGCAGTGCTGTAGATGGTGAGTGTGCACTGTACACTTCTACCCCAGTCACACACACTCTGATTCATCTCTTCAGCGCATGGTAGCACTTAAGACCTCCACAGTCAAATACACATTAATAACAATCAGAAGACTATTCTTATTGATAAATTTCATGTTTCCAGAAGCAGGAAGTTATTCACCATCATCAGCTCCTTTAGCAGTAGGAGAAGCTTAGAAATGCCTGGTTAGCTCATGGACAGTGTCTGCATTCAACCCTCAGTGCCTGGGTGTGCAGCAGCAGCAGCCAGATGAGCTAATTGAGAGGGTGGTCTACCACAAAGAAAAAAGAAGAGAAAGGCACTGAACACTACCAGCATTTTATAGGGAAGGCTCCTGTCCTCAGCACCTCCCAGGGTCTCCCTGGGATCCCCAGGGAGGAACCAGCACTCTAGAAACTCACCTCCATAAGAAGCCACATGAGATCCAGTAGCTGCTGAATAAGGGGGTGGGCCTCCACTGCCCCTCCTCGCTCAAGGATGCTCAACAGGAAGGTCATGAGCACATCTTCCACCAGGTACACCTTGCACTGCAGACAGAGAGCCAGGTCAACATTCCTCCATGGCACAGTCACTTCCCAGCAAAAGCTGGGGATTATTTTGTCTTGCAAGAGCAGTAACAAGCACTACAGAACCTGGCAATGGGCAGGTAAAACTCACCATAAGAGGGGAGAAATAATTGAAGATGTGAGCTAATGTAATCAACACTGTGGGTTCTCCCTGCAGCTGCCACATGGATGTGTCTTTCTCCACCAGCTTCCCCTCCTGCAATGACAAACCCAGAAAAACACATGGCTTGGATCCAGCCCAATCCACCTGTACAGGAACAACTGAATGAACCACACGCCTGGAGCGGCCACTGTTGCTGTCCCAAGCCTGATGGCACTAAAAACCTTGAACACAGGAATTTAGAATGCCAAAGAAGCCAGGCTTATTCCTCTGGAAAACTGTATTACAGTCCAGATGTCACCATCAACCACGTGCAGGCATTTTGACAATGTTTTTCTAAAAAAAGTTCAAGTTTACATGATAATTTGTAAATGGGAACACCTACAGAAGAGGACAACTAGCAAAGCAGGCCTCCTTTCAAGCCAAGACCATAGCATATGGCATTTTCTATGCTTTGGGCATGAACATATCATCCCTCATTTGAGTGGAAAACAGTGTTTCCAGCAAACAATACCACAGTTAAAACAATCCTCAAGGCAGACCTGCCAGAATTTCATCACATTACTGAACAGGACACCAGTAAAAAGCTTAGAATATGAACAAACTGATTTCAAGGGTGCAAAATCAAATCCAGCAGTTGCGACCCTGAAAAACATTATTTCTTGAATACTGGCAATGAAACTTCATAGGACTGAGAGCAACACAGCCCAGTGTGACTTAAATTAAGTCCTGGAACTACCAGGAAGCCCATTTGGCAAGCCTGAGAGCTCCAGAGACATGCATGCCACATGCAAGCATTTAGACTCTTGGGTGTATGGAAACATCTGAGCTGGCAGCATGTGCCAGGGAGAGCAGAACCACATTTCCCAGCATGGTGCCCTCCTCAGATGCAGCCAGTGATGGCAGCCTACCGTCACATCTATTCCAATATGGATCACATTCTTCAAGTAGCCCAGCAGCTTCCGAGCCTTCACCAGGTCTGCCACAGGAGGATCTTGCAAGGGTCGGTAACCCTCCACTGGATAAGTAAGGAAGTGTTAAGGGAAAATGCAGTCTGATCCTTTTGGGACTTCTTTTGTCTGTACAAGAAAAAGACTCTGTCTGCTTTACTTTGTACTCAGTCCCAGTTCAAACCACTGTGCCTTTACATGGATGATGAGCCACAAGCGCTTATCTCCACTTCCTCAATACTGCAAGCAGAAAGTATTTCACTTCTGCTTGGTGTGAAATATATTTTTCATCAGAAAGACCAGCTGGAGCTCCCACTACAGCCATCAACAGGCACAGCCAGGACGGCTCTGACAAGAGCTCCAGGCTTCAGCATTCACACAGCAACAGGAACACTAGTACCATGTCAGAGGTCCCATATGGCTGGGAGGTAATGGAGACAAGAGACCAAAAGGCTCAGCAGCACAGCAGCATTAGGGTTTCCAAAACTCCAGTGAGAATTTTGCAGGATCTGAGTGTCTGAGAGCAGGCAGCCCCCAGTTGTAGCAGCAGCTGACTCAGAGCTGAAAGCAACTCTCATTTCATATTTCATAAACTTGTGTTTGTGTCCTGGACTTCTGCTTCACCTAAGGAGGTATTTGGCTCTTCTCTCCCTGACTCAGCTCTGCACACAAGTGCTGACAGCAGAAAGTGAACTGCAGTCAGGTGTGTATCTTCTACAGCCTCCAAAGATGGTCTCAGGACAGGCTCTTTTCCCTTCAGACTTCCTCTCCCCACACCTAAAGGATATCGGAGTGGACGGCTTCCAAAGTTAAAAGCAACAGACTCTTTGAAGGAGAGGCTGATGGCAGGGAAATAAGCCATTCCAGCACCCCTCGTGATGTTATCAAAGGCAGTTCCCAGAGATATGCCATTCCTGAAAGGAAAACCCACAAGATTTTAGTCACAGTAGGAGGGGTCTGAGGTCAGCTGGGCAATACAGATATCAACTTGCCAACACGGACACGCCAGTCAGTCATGCCTCCTGTCATTCTTAACCTGGCATGCATGCAAATGTCACAGCTCTGCTGAGTAACAGCCACGGGAAGCACAGGGGCACTCCCATTTTCATATGAGCATGGGAAGGCACTCGAGTCTACAACTCAGCTTCAAGGGCAATCCAGATCTGTGAGATAACTAAAGCAGCGGGACATTTTAAAGCATGTGATCTTTTTGCCTCATCTATTTGATGTTGGTGGCAATCAATGATAATGCTTTCCATCTACTTCTCCATAAAAGATGACACGGACTATCTAACAGTCCTTAACTGCAACTGACTTCTTGCAGGCCAGGGCCAGAGAACAATTCTCATTGTGCATGGGAGCTGGAAACCAGAGATTTATCACCCTTTCCACAGCTCCTAGTGAATATAGGACAGGCAAGGTCTACACTGACCACAAAAGCAATCAATTAAAGCCAAGTGTAGCATTAAGCATCACAAGACATGCCCTTCCCTCCAAAATCCTGGCAAACTCAGCAAAGACTTTGTACCTTGAACATCTTCCTGAACTGAACTGAACTGAGACCCAACAACAACCCCATTCAGATGATTTCTGAACACAAGGAAGAAAAACAAAGGCCGGAATGACCAAGGAACATAAAGGGGAGACAGCAGAAATAGGGCTCAGTAACCTGCTGAGCAGTGAGGAAACCTTTCTGTTACACACAGACATATACAAAGAAGGGAATGGGGCAAAGATGCTTACAAGCAAAAAGCAATGGTGCCCTCATCAAGGTCTATCAGACAGCTGACGATGTCTCCTGCTGCCCAGGACTGCAGGAAAGGGAGAGAGAAGGTTAAACATATATAAACAGCGTGTTCCAATATCACAAAAAAGACTGCAACCCAACCAATCCCTAGTGATTCAGGGTTAAAGAAGAGAGAGTTCCTTCTCCCAGCAGTTCACAGCATTTTCAGGCACTTCTGGAAGCTGCACATAAAGCCCCTGATTGGGATATTTTCCCCCTCTAGCATTAGGAATGCATATTTATCCCAACAATGCACCATGCTCTGATGTGCTGCAGAGAACCAGAGCCTTCCAGGGACTAACAGCTGCACTAGACTGGGAATCAGTCTAAATCTGGGGCTGCTAAGCAAAGCACCCAGACAGCACGACCAGCATCCTTATAGTACAGACAAGTGACAGCACATAGACTGAAGGAGAAAGGCTTGAGGGCATTTCACAAGGCCCAGAAGAATCCAGTGAGCAGAAGGAGTCACTTGCTTTCTCCTCCTTCCTCTCCATCCCACTCCTGGGGGACAGCTACTCACTTTGCCATAGTTTGTGGTAGTCACGTTCCACTTGCGCACCCTGTTTCCATCATAGGCATACGAATCTGGCGTGTCCCCAACACCTTCCTGCACCAAAGTATGAAAGAGGAGACTCAGACCAGAAATAGAGGATTGTTCTCATTGCAAGAGAGCCTTTAAGGGGGAGACCAGTAAGCAGGGAGAGCATGTGAATGACAGCACACATGCTCTGCCTGGGAAAAGTCCTCACTCTAGGAATGAATCCAGTGATTTGTGATCTTTGGTTCAGAGAAGTACACCACTCCCTACTAATTTTTGGGTCAGAAAAGTGTACTGGCATCCAACACTTCCCATTTCTATCAAAGTAGCTCCCTGGGATGCCCACCACTTCCCCACTCACATATTGCAGAGTGCCAAGTCAGTGAAACTGCAGCTGACATCCCTTTCCAGCACCAAACATCCCACCCAGATAAAACAACATCCCACCCTTTCCTGAGCAAAAAAAAAGCCCTATAGCACCAGCTGCTGAGGCCCACCCCAAGGGACAGGCTGCCAGCACTGCAGTAACACACACTTTTTGGGGAAGATACCAGCTGAAAGTCAACATGTAGCAGTTATATGTGCAGCAAGAGCACAGCAACACGCCCAGCCCAGGCTTTCACAATGTACACCATTCTGTGGACACAGACCAGAGAGTCTTGTAAAGACTCTTAAAACAGCAGGCCTGGCATTTCTAGTGTGTGTGTGGCATTTCTGGTGTGAATGGCAGCAGGGCACAGCACCAATGCAATGCTCCACACTGACCTAAAAAGCAATGGAGGAGCATCTCCCAGAGTTGCTACACTACCTCCTGATTAAATCTGCAGTTGAGAGTACACCAGCCAATCTGCATGAGTCCCTGGGAGGAGATGAGCACCTCATAAATCCATTTTCCTGAAAGAGAGATGCCACACAGTGAATTCTTGTCCCATGGTTGTTAGAGAAGATGAACCTGACACTGCTCCTACAGAAATACATGTGACACACAAAGGAGGTTCAGGACATCCCCAGGATTCCTCTCCCACCCCTTTACTCCAACATAACACAATCCCCCATCCTTCTCATTCCCTGGAAAAGTTCAGTAAATGAACTGAGGAGGAGGGTGCTCAAGATCTGGAACATATTCAAGATTTCCTGAGCTCTCCAGTTGTCTAACTCCCCATACACTCCTCCTAGAGTCCTTTCTCAAAGCAGTACTGGTTTATCTCCTTACCTTTATACACACATGTTGTGGCCCTGATGGACCCAAAGTTACTGTGGCCAATCACCTGGACCAATAAAAAAAAGATATTTTAACATTAGGCAAAAAGAGAGGCTTGTTCAGTCCCTCCCATTCCTCTGTCCTAGCACTCAAAACCAAAGCAAGATGGAGAGCTATTCAAAGGACAGCACAGGAACAAGAAGGGATATCTTCCCCACGCCAGCAGCTGTACTTGGAGCCAACTGGCCCGAGGGAATCATTCAGGTCCCTCCCACAGCTCATCTGTACTTGATAAACCCCAGTGAAGCACCCAGCATGGCAGCAGTACAAAGGCAACATGTCGACAGACAAGATCTCAGTGAACTGGCACAAAAGTGTATACTAAAGTGATTATGGCATGGGAAAGATATATGAATGCTGGACAAGTTAGATAGATTCAAGGCATCCAGACCAAAGGCCAGGATTGGCAGGTAACATGGTGCCTAGAAACTGAACCGTGTTAAATCCTGACTCTTGCCATCTTGGGACAGACCATGAAGAGGAAATGAAAGTAGGAACAAGGAATTCACAGACAAGCCAGTCCAATCCATTCTGTGGGTCAGTTCTAGGTACAGCCAAAGTAAACCACAGCAGGTGGTTAAAGGGGGGACCAGAGCAGCCTGATTTGTCAGAGGCTAAAGAGCAGGCAGAGATTAAGGAGGGAATCACTTCAAGAGTAGGGAATGTGCCTGCTTAGTGAAGGGCTGAAAGGAGTGCAGAAATTACTGAAGTAGGAGAGGGTTAAATTCCAGAGGATTCTTTCAGCTGACTTTTTTGCACAGGGAACATCAGCTAAGGAGCAAGCAGGTAATTAGTGGAAACAAAGGAGAAATGAAAACCTCAGCTTTAGACTCTTTCTAGCCTTTTAAGACCAGAAGGAAGGAAGGAAAAGGCAGTCTGCTGGAGGGAGGGACAGGAAAGCAGGCTGCATTACCCAAGGCCAGGGTAATCCTTTCACTTCCTCACAGTCCCACTCAGACCTTGCTGAGACTTAGTGGTACTGCTAGAGTTTTTCCCAGGACAGCTCATTTCCTCCAGGATCCTACAGCTTTCAAGGTTGTATTTATACATTTATACACGCTACAAAGCCACTGACAGAGATCTACCACAAAGAAGAAACCAAGAAGCCCCAAGTGCTTTTAGTCCCACAAAATCATTTTCTGCAGTGTCCAGCAACACACTCACCCCAAGTAAATCATCATCAACCAGCAGGAGCCCCTCAAAGCCGCTCGTGTGGTCCAACACCACAGTGGAGGGACCAAGTCGGCCTTCTGCTACCTGATCTGAAACAAGAGTTGCAGAAAACCTGTTGGGGAGAGTTGTGCAAGATTTAACAGTTCACACACTGAGTGCTTCCAGCCAGACTGCGACAGCACTTGGATTCTGCTACAGGGGAGGAAGATTAAGACAGTGTTGCCTATGTTAGACCCCGAGAAACTCAGAAAAGGAGAGAGATTAAAAATAAAGTCTTCACAGTGACTCAGCTATGCAGCATTCAGGACACATTAAGTTTTCCACATCACCTGAAAATTTTACTTTGACAAAATTCAAAGGCTAAACTCTGTGCCAAATGTTTGGCCAACATGTCACACTTTGACTGCAGCCAGCAAGAAAAAAATCACCTTTCTAGGAGGGGAGCCAGGTTGTATCTTGTCACATCCTGATTTATTCAGAGAAACGATGCTAGTAAGAACACAGGGTACAGCCTGAGGCCCAAAGTGAATATCTGCAGTGGAGACTAGCATGTAAAACTTGTCAACAAGCCTCTGCATCTCCCACTGACGATAGCACTGCACACTCCTGGTCAAAGCAATGGCTCTGCATATCATTATTAGTAAGATAACATCAACATTTGCCTCCAAACTGCTTTTCCAGACATTTTAGCCTGGAAATAGGCCTCCATCTGCAAACAAACCTGCTGCAGGGCTGGCTGATGAGCCCCTCACAGGCAGGATTTAAAGGCACAATAAATTAGAGCACAGGGAGGCAGAACAGCGCTCACTCAGGGAAATGCTTTTCATGTTACAACTTGTCCTTTCCAATTAAGCAGCACAATCAAGAAGCACAAATTGCACAGGCAGTATCTCCTACCTCTGCTGTCTTCAGAGCCATTCTCCTCTGCCAGCAATCGCTCAAGGTGCTCCTGCAGGTTCTGGAATGTCAGGTGCTTCCTAGGGAATAAACATACAGGGGCTCTTAAAAAAAACCTTGTTTCCAATTTTTCAAGAGTTGCAGCCCAGACACGTGTCCTGTGCTGAGACATGAACCATGAAGTTCTGTTGATCTGTTTCGTGTGATGAATCTAAGGAATTTGCTGCCCATCGTGTTAGGGCAATGAATGAAGGAAGGACCAAACACAGCACGAACAAGCCAAGTAGTTAACAAGGAATCTTAAAGTCTTCAGTCTGCTCAGGAGTGTTTTGTGTCAGTAAGAAAACTGTGGCACAAGGCAGCAAGAAACCAGCTGTACTACCAATAACTATGGACACGACTTTGCTGCAATCAGCATCATACAAACATGGCCTACGTCAGGATTTGTTTTTTCCCCAAAGTATTTTGCAAAACAAAAGAACAACAGCAGCAGCTATAGCAGTTCAAACAAAGATCAGGCTAGTCCAGCATCCTCTGTCTGTGAAAACAGCTAAAACCGTTTTGTTTTCATACTGAAAATTCTCCCATGCATCCCCTTTGGGCCACTGTTCTAGAGAACTTACTGCCCTTCCTTGGTTCTTCCTTTTAAGGACAGTTTACTTAGCTGATCCTTGTACAAGGGCCTCCTTTCACTGTGAGAACCACTAGTTGTTCCTATCCCTGCTTCCCATTCCCAAGACCATCTGGGAAACAACTTCTCACTTCTCCAGGACTAGGGATTTCCCTAAGACTGGTGAGAGACATTGTGAAAACCTGATGGATGTGAAGATGTATAGAAGTGAAATCAAATAATTAGTTTTGGTTTGATATGAGAAGGGTGGCTTCAGCAAAGCTGCTTAATCAGTAGTGGCATGGAAGAGGAGTTCTGGAAGGAGAGTGGAAGAGCATGAGACAGGCAGAGAGATGTCAGCAGTGAGCTCCTCTATGAAGTATTCAGGCCTCTGAAGGCAAGATGTCATACCATATAAGTTGCTCTCATATGGCAAATGTTATTTCCAAGAGCTCTTTGACTTCTACTGGGCTTTCTACCAAGTAGCCACGTCCAGGGAAAAAGGGTGGAAGGCAGGAAAAAAGAGAGAGAGACCAGTCCAACAAACTATCAGTTCTGTGCATTCAAGTCATTAATCACCAGACAAAGAAATCAGAAATATTGAAAACCAAAATGCTCAGGCGGATGGACTGTTCCAAGGTTTGCTGGCTGGAGAGTTCGTGGTAAAGTAACATGACCCACTTTGCCTCGCCCGTACCATCACCCTGGCTCACCAAGAGCCAGAGGGCCAAGAACTATTTATAGCAGCTCTGAGCTCACATTGGAGCTGGCAGTCCTAAGTATAGCCCGTGGAATGTGACCCCAGACACGCTGCAGCACTGCCAACCAGCAGGAGCCACAGGCCTGCCTCACTCTGCCACACTCCTACCTGCCCTGAACCTGTCTGACTTGCCTCTGGCAAAAGAGATGCAAGAGGAATTCTTCTCATCCAACACTACAGGTTTCTGGGATAAAAGATGAAGGAGAACTGAAAATAAATAGGAAAAAAGCAGTCGCTAAACAGGAATTTTGTGTTTCTCTTCCTTTGGTGACTCCTAATAAAAATACCAACAGTTCCACAGCCTAAAAAATGTATGGTACTGCATGGATCAGTAACAGTCTTGCCTTTAGGTTACAGGGCATTAACAGCCTATTTTTAATTCCTGCACCTGAAACCTGTGCATTTTGCACTTCCTTACAAGCAAAGGGGGAACAGGAACAATCAGGTGAATGCCTACTTATTTCAAAAATATTGCCCAGTGATGTTGTAAATGGGATTTTTCATGCAAAAAAGAATCCTTCCTCGCAAGCCCTGCAGTTTGAAAAAGCCACTAAAAGACCAGGCCTCAGAGTTGTTTCGGTAACATGGAGCTACTGTGCTTTTAACAAAGATCACTGTGAGGCACTAAAAGATCCTTCCTTTCATGCAATGCTGTTTATCTGGAGGTGGCATCGCTTGCCACCTGGGCAGTGAGAAGTTTGATACCTGTAAGCAGCTGCAGGCTGGTTCCCATCAGCACTGGTAAAGACTCGATGCAGATAATCATTCAGCAGCCTGCTGTTCACTATCCCTTGGGAAAAACAGAAAGGAAATAAGCTTAGAGAGTCCAGGGTAAACTCAGATATGAATTTCATGTACAAGCAAGAAACTGGTAACTGGTGGGGAAATTATGTTCATGTTTGCTGATCAACACAGTGGAAAATGCAGCTTCAAGCAGTCATTCATCACCTTACTGTCCTCACTAGCAGAATCAGACTCCAGCATTATTGGGTGCGTCTCCCCAAAAAAGGCTCTTTCCAATTTGAGCTGCTCTGCCATAGCAACTGGGAGCCTAAAAATCACTCCACACAGGTGGAAGTACATCCTCAGTAATCCTGCTGTGCTATTTCCTGATAAAGTAACTCTAAAAGCTGAAAGCAGGAATCAAATTTTATTTGGAAAAAAAAAATCTTAACACTACTGCAATTCCTGATGTCCTATTCATATTCAGGATGTCTCTTAACCGCATAAAAGATGCTGAGATGGAAAGGCTGCAATGTGCAGTTCACCTCATATAACCCAGAACCCTCTTTAATGATGTGTGCCTCACCTTCACCAAACAACCCTTAGTGTCCCACTGATGCAGCATTCCTTGTTTCTGAGTGCAACAGTGCCCTCAAATGCCAGATTTGTGGTCTCATAAGCACACTTGTGCTGGATTGGTGACGCCAAGAAATAAAAACAGACTGCCTGGCAGGTAGCAGAATTTCCCAGAAAAGGATTAATTTGAGAATTTGACAAGTTGTTCATCCTGGAAGGGAACTCCCTAAATCAGACGAGTCTCAAATGGTAGGCAGGCAACAAAACATTCTCCAGCCCTATGAGGCAGGGCTGTGTGCCGAAGAAAAGGCTCTGTGACATGAGTTTCTGGAGTCATTACTTCTGGAGTCACACTGCAGGAATGTCCCGTCCAAAATCTCATCTCACTTTGAGGATTTACTCAGTTTCAACCCCCCTACACCTCACACTACCATGGTAACTACAGCTGGAAGGCAGCTGATCTCAAGCAAGGCAAGGAATCATCCCTGGATCCACAGTGCTCCTGTTTTCACAAGGCATTACAGGCCCCTACCTGTGACCTTGGACTTCTCTGGCTCAGTGCTCAGCCTGTAATTCTTCCTTGAGAAAGCAGTCCCAGCACCTCTCGACGTCATTCTTCACAGGCACCAATTCCAGAGCAGACATAAGATGGGCAGACGCCTAGAACAAAACCTTCTGGGGAGGATGCTGCCTTTAGACGTCTCCCTTTCTTGGAAGTTCGTTTACCTGAATTAAACAACAGAGATAAGCCAAAAAATAGTCACAGTCCTTGCATGTCCTAATGACATTACACAAGAGCCCTAAACCAGCTAACTGCCGACCCTGCTCTCAAGTCTCACTGCCGTCCAACAGCTCAAAACCTTCCCAAAGCAGATGAGCCATTAAGCCACACTCCAGCCAGCTACACAAACCCCACTCCAAACAAAGGCACAGGCACAACCAAGCCAGAAACACCTTTGCACCAAGCCTGGGCCAGAAGCACTGACCCAGCACAGGGCCACAGTCACCACCACTGCCAAACACCACTGAAACTGGGAACCGTGCCGCACTGCTGCTCATGTCCTGATAAACACTTCTGCCTTTCCCTCTCACTCTGTACTCTTTAGGACAGCAATATGTGTCTGGATAATCTTCTGTTTAGCAGGTGTTTAGATTATTCCACTACCCAAAACAGAGAGGAAGAAGGAACGAGACAAATGCAGATGGACTGAACTACAATAGAATATCACTGACTACAAAACGAAAGACCCAGCTGTCAGTCACAGGGACAAAAACAGACACAGGTAATATACAATAGAGTTTACAAGTGAAAATCTACCATGAGACCACAGATTCAGGAGCCTTCCTGGTATCACTAGAATGCTATCAGAGCTGACATGTGCCAGGGCAAAAAGAATACATTCAAGTGGCTAGTTCCATCCAGCTTCCAAATGTTAGGTTATACCCCTCTCCAGCTTCCAACTGCCCCAGTAGCCAACTCTCCCTGGGCATCCATCTGTCAAAGCACTTTGTGACACAAGGAGCAACAGGAAGATGCAACAGGAGCAAAGGCTGCAAGAATTAAATGTTTGTTGGCAATCTCATGCAGAGCAGAAACTAAGGCAAATCCAAGAAAAGTTAATGACTCCAGAAAAGGAATGCCAAGTGACACAAGTGCTGCAGCAACTCCAAATCACCTGAGCTTCAGCTAGACTTGGGAAAGGGTTTCCTAAAGCCCCTTTCCTCAGGACCACCCTAGCACCCAGCAGTGGAGCAACACTGCCCGGCCTCCCTCCTGCAGCACTGCTGAGCAAAATAGCAGGAACATAGCAAAAACCAGCCTGAGTCAAAGGCCCTGAATGATGCGTCAGGAGCTCAAAACAAGAGATAAAACAATAAAAGAGAAACACATTGTTTACTACTGAAGCAGAGCAGACAGCACAATGTGTACTATCCTAAAAGTACTTGACACATGACATGATTTCACCTCTGTCAGGACAAGTTAAAAACACCCGAGGGCAGTCAGGAGTGCCCATGGCTCTCCTAAAAGACAGCCACTCTGGTAACCAGCGCTGCTGAAACAGCCTGAATGCCCAAAGCAGAGCACACAGCATCGCTACACTGGCACCATATGAGATGCAGTGCTGGCACTGCTGCAGTGCCAGGGTGTTTGCTCAGTTGGAGCAGATGCTGCTTTCAACAGGTCTGAGAAAGGGCAGAGCAGGGGGACACACATCCGCCCCACGTGCAATTCACAGAAGCAAAGATGCCCTGCTCTGAGCCTGGCCCGGGGCTAAATTCCCTTCTCTTGGCAAAAGCAAGCAGCTTCCAGCAGCAGGGCAGAACACACAACACAGGAGCAGCCAGATCTGAAGTGGAGGCGACTGGAGGCAGGCGAGGAGGCCGAGAAGCCAGGCCGGCCAAGACAACTTTGGCAGCTCCCGGCCAAACCCTGAGACTCGCAGCAGGCAAAAGGAAACAGCACAGCCCGACACGGATCACAAAACTGCCCTGCCTTCATCCCAGGCGTGGGTCCCCCTGGCCTCCCAGCCTGCCGGCACCCCCAACCCACAACCACCGGGCAGCACTGCCGTGCTCACACTCAGGAACCGGCCCCAAAGCCGGGCTCACTCCGCAGTCGAGGCGGACAGCACGCCCCGAGCTCAGTGGCGCCCCATAACCCAGAGACACCCCCTAAATCGAGCAGCACTCCCTACAGCCACAGACACCCCAAACCCGGAAGGACCCTCCATGCCCACAAACACTCCAAACCCGAGAACCCCCTACACCTGCCTACAACCCGTGAGGCACGGCAGCCGCCCCCCGATCGGGCGCCTCACGCAGAGCCGGATGACACTCCCCGAGCTGGCCGTGCCCCTCGCCCCTCGCGGCCCCCGGGGCAGCCCCCGCGCTGCCAGGACCGGGCCCCGCGGCCGCCGCACTCACCGCCGGCCCGGCCGCGCCGCCGCTACGGCGACCCGCGAGGGCCATGGCGGGCGGGCGGGACGCGTTGCCGGGAGACGGGCGGGACTCTCTCCGCGCTCGGGCAGAGCCAGGCCGCGGTGCCCTGCCCTGGGGAAGGACAGGGGGCAGAGACCACCCGATGCTTGTGTAGGGAAACCGAGCAGGATCAGGGCCGCCAGACGCGAAGGTCTCGGCCGTGAAGCTGGGCAACTGGCCAAGGCCAGCCCGCACGAGGGAGGCCGGGGCTGGTGCTGCCGACCCTCAGGGAGACAACAGCCCTCTGGTCCAGACCTCGAACCCTACCCTTGGAGAGAGAGGAGGAGGAGGAGGAAGCCGACACACGAGCGTGGAGCCTCTCAGTGCACTTTATTATGCCTGTGGAGTGGGATCGGGGCCAGTACTGGGGGACTGTCCACAGCAGGTCCTGTGGCGGTGTCCAGGCTGGCTGTGGGGATTCTGGGTCCAACATTGCAAGTAGGAGCAGTCCTGGATCCACATGGGCCCAGGGAGCGTGGACTGGAGCATCTGACACTTTCAAGATAGAAACATAGAGTCATAGAATGATTTGGGCTGTAAGGAACCAGAAAAATAATCTAATTCCACCTCCCTGCCATGGGCAGGAGCACCTCTCATGAGACCAGGTTGCTTCAAGCCCCATCCAGTCTGGCCTCGAACACTTCCAGGGTCGGGACAGCCACAGCTTCTCTGGGCAACCTCACCACCCCCACAGCTTGCTGGCACCCAACTCCACCAGCCAGCTACCATCAGGGTCCTCTTCTGTTTCTCCTGATCCAAAAAATGTCAGACATTCCAGCACCCCCAGGCCCTTGGGGATCCAAGACTGCTCCAGCCTGCAGCGTTAGGCCTAGAATCCCCACAACCAGCCCAGACACGGCTTCAGGACCTGCCATGCACTGTCCCCCAGTGCCGGCCCTGACCCCATTCACCAGCACAATAAAGTGCACTGGGACGCTCTCTGAGGCCTGACAAAAGTATCTGGCCACAGGACCATTAGACTGGGCCACTGGGAGCAAAATGCTCCAGGTCCTGAAGTTTGACCTTATGTGGCTTTTCCTTGCTATGTAAATCCAGGCCTCTTACAGTAGACTCATTGAAATGTAAAGGTTTCTGCCTGAGAAACAACAACTTTGCAGTCTTTCACTCTCCTAAGGTATGGGGAAATCACAACACCACACAATTCAGTCGCTCTTTCCATCTTAACACCAGGCTCTGGGGCACAGTGGAGTTGTAGACTCACCCAACAATTCAACAGAATTTCTCTGCTTTTATCTCTGTTTACTTGCCTGCAAATATGACAACAATCTACTTGATACAGTTCTTGAGCTCTGCATTGCTGACCATTTACCTCTGCCAATGCTCCCAAGTCATCTCCTCACACACCTGAGCTTCCTCTCCTGTGAAGGAGAGATTTTGCAATATGCTAGGAAGCAGGTAGGGGAGGGGAGACTGAAACCTCTCCATGAGACACTTTCTGGGAGGCCTGCGAGGATGTCTTGTGAAAGAAAAAAAAGCAACCAGAGGGAAGTATAGAGCAGAGGCCCTTTACCCTCAGAAACTTACTGGGCAGCCAGTGGGGCTGCTTCATCAATCCCGGCATGCTTTAGCAACAGTGCTGCAGAACAGGTTTTAATCCAGAGGCAGGAGCAGTCCCCAGGAGAATGCAGACCAGGCTATGGGCTCAGGTGGAGTGCCCAGGCAGCAGGAACGTTTCCTCAGCCACCATCAGAGTCCACTACTGAACCTGCCTCGACAACAACCAGACAATGTCTCAGATACGACCAGAATAGTGAAAAGGAATGTGAAATCAAGCCTTGAAGAATCCAGGTCTGAAATGTAATTCAGGACCAGGAGAGAAACCTGAACTGCCCAGAAGTCCCACAATACGAGGTGTGTGACACTGCTGGGAGTGACTGCTTCCTTCAGCTCCTGCCTTTAGAGTGTCCCCAGCGATCCTCTTTTACCAGCCACCTTCCAAGCCAAACTCTGGTGCTTGGGATTTTCTCACCAGCCTTTCTGTATTTTGCTTGGCCTTCCAAGGCCAGGGCATGACATAAACAACTCCATTAGCTAGATGTTGACAGATGTGGTTCACTCAGGGAACAAGCACCTTGGCAAGCTCGGATGTGGCACTTGGTGCCATGGTCTGGTTGATATGGTAGTGATCAGTCACAGGTTGGACTCGATGATCTTCAGAGGTCTTTTCCAACCTAAATGAGTCTGTGATATTGCGATGAGGTAGGTGTCCCTTCAGGGAGAAAGAAGTCTTCGGTTGGTAGTGCAGTAACCGCCTTGGGGAACGGGTCTCCCACAGAAGACCCTGTGGGAGCCGGAGCTGCAGCTGGAGAACGAGAAACAGCGACCGGGGAATGGGGAACTGAGATCGAGAGTCGGGGACCGCCTCAGCGCACTCCAGTGCCGGGGCCGCCCCGCCCCGTCCCTCCCGCTGCCTCGGCCGCTTCCCATCTGCCGCCCTTCCCTGCGTTCCCCCGGGTGCAGCCGCCCTCATGGCGCCGTGTCGAGGCGCGTTGGGCATCTGCCTCCTCCGCCTGCTCCTGCTGCCGGCAGCCGGTGAGCGCGGGGAGGGGGGGAAGGTGCGGGAGCGGCCAGCGGGGGGTCCGGCGTCGCTTTCGGAGGCGGCGATCACATCCCCGGGGAGGCCCGGCCGAAGCCCCCGGCGTGGGGAAGCCCAGGCTGCGAGCTCAGCTCCCTCAGCTCAGCCGTCCGTGCCAGGGCGGGGGCTGAGGACCGCGTGGTTTTGGGGGTTGTAGAACCGGGATGTTGGGGTGAGGAACGTGTGATTTGAGGGGTTGTGGAACTGGGGTGTCAGGGCTGAGGAACGCGTGATTTTGGGGGCTGTGGAGCCGGGATGTTGGGGTGAAGAACGCGTGATTTGGGGGACTGTGGAGCCGGGATGTTGGGGTGAAGAACGCGTGATTTTGGGGACTGTGGAGCCGGGATGTTGGGGTGAAGAACGCGTGGTTTTGGGGACTGTGGAGCCGGGATGTTGGGGTGAAGAACGCGTGNTTTTGGGGACTGTGGAGCCGGGATGTTGGGGTGAAGAACGCGTGGTTTTGGGGACTGTGGAGCCGGGATGTTGGGGTGAAGAACGCGTGATTTTGTGGGCACGTGGTCCCGGCGGAGGGAGGTGCCCACACGCCCCAAGCGATTTTGGCGCGGAGTTGGGTTCGCCGAGGGAAAAGTCGTGCTGAGGGAAAAGCTCTGCCGAAGTGGGCTGGGTTTGTGTTGAGAGGTGGTGTCGGCCAGCGGTGGCTGCGGGACCCCGCCTGATGATAGGGGCTTCTGGTAACTGAGGTAAGGCAATGATGTACTAAAGTGGCTGCCGGTTATTCTTGAAGCATTCCATTAAAAACCTTCACCTTTTCACCCCCAACACAGTAAATTCTATCCTTTTACTGGAAGATAATAGAAACAGTGATGTATTAAGTGATGATATCACATAAATAGCACTACTTATGCAAGCTTGTTTGATGATTGAATTCGTAGATCAAATGCTATTATTGATAATAGTTCTATTTTTTTTCAGCACCCCAATCTGTTGCTGTTTTGTTATTGTGCTTAGAGGATGGACCTTGTGGTCTTCCCCAACTTTGTCATGTGGTTAGAAAGAGTGGATGTGATCCCAGAACTTATCTGGTGAGGTCTCAGAGAAGGAGAAGCACTCTTTATATTTTATATAGCAGTAGTGTCATGTGATCAGAGAGATCTAATTCTACACAAAACTGTGCAGGAAAGTTGCTTGTGACATGCAAGAAGACATTTGACTTGCTCAGAGTAATCCAGGATCACAGTTTGTTTGGGGGCTGAGCTGAAATTAGTGTGGCTGAAATGATCAGAGTTTTATCTGTAAGTACTTCAAGGTATGAGTACCTGAAAAAGGGTTCTTTAGGCTGACTCACCATGAAGGTGCTATAGCTGTAACTGTACTTATTGCCGTGATTGGGGACTGGGTGGGAAGAGTTTGGCGGCTGTTAAAGGTTTTGTGTGGTACTGATGGTGTGAAATCATCAGGCTGATGCCCTGCGGGATAGGAGGAACCCCTCAGTAACTGGATTGTGTTGGGTGTGGACTGTACCTGTTCTCAGATGATTTAAATAATTATCCCACCAGAAGACTAGCTGGGGAAAAAAGTGCCATCAGTTGATGAGCTGGAGAATTCAGTCAGTTGAGAAAGTCTCATGGATGCCACAGCTGATAGAGAAAGAGAGGAACAAAGTAGGGGCACCGAATTCTTCTCCTTTGGTGTGCTCAGACCTTGTTGGCTCAGCTCAGCCACCTGAGAATTGGCCTAGGCCTTTGGTTTTCCTTGTTACTTTATTGTGCTGCGGTAGTACAATTGTGAGATGAAGGCAGGGAATTTTGTTGGTTGCCTTGCTGTGTAATTTGACAAGGTATTTTGGAATTGGTTTAGCTACCTGCCATGTCCTTGTTAGGGATAGAGGAAGGAGGGAGGAGTCAGGTGGCATTAGGTATCTGCAGAAGAAAAATTTGATTGACCAGGTGTGAGGATATGTAAAGATGTAAAAAGTATTATGCTATGGGTACAGAAGTCCCTCTTTATTCTGTTGAACGTCCATGTTTAAACCCTTACAAGATTTTTGATTTTATCGTTGGCTGTGATGCCTAAATTTTTTTAGTTTTTTATATATTTTTCACGTATTTTTAACTTTGTAGACTGTTAATACAAAGTTATAACTTCTAGTACTTTTCCTGTCCTCCCCCATAGTTTACCAAAACCTTGCTAATACATTCTTGAAATTCTGTTTAGTCTTGCCTTGAGTCTAGCAAAGACACTTTGTTTTGCACCTTACATTTGACACAGTAAAGTGTAGGGCTAGAAAAGGTTGAGGGGAGTTCTAATAGGGCAGAACTCGGGGAGAAATTACCTAACCAACTGTTCTTCTTACTGGAAAATATTTGATAGATAGACTAATCAACCTTATAAAAATTGTAGAAATATTGTATCGTGTGTGCATCTCACCATATTGTGCACCATTAAGGCTTTCAATTAAAGACTTGCATTTATATTACCATTTTAACTCTGGAAAGGTTTTGTGTTTTATTCCAGGCAACAGCTGAAGTATTCAGGTATTTCTTGATGCCAGAGAGTGAACACTGAATTTTCAAATGTTCAAGTCAGTTTAAATAAATAATGTCTTTGTCTCTTCCTGTTTGCTTTCTCTGAACAATTACACCTGAAGGAATTTGATTTTTTTTTTTGGATGGAGTGTGGTTTAGGACCAAGATATCAGGGTATGTCTTGTTAACATGATATGTGACAGGAAGGAAAATGACAAATAGAAACCAGCTGACTGCAGCATTTGTCACTGAAAAATGAAGTGATATCCTTCTTGGGAAATGATTTTTGCTTAAGCTTTGAGAAGCATTTTTATGTGGCAGTTAAAAGCTTTTAATATGCCGTTCTTATGGTGCAGTTACTAAGGCTTGGGAGGGCAAAGACAGAGAAAACAGCCAGTTTCTTAAGGAATGTGTCAGCCCAATGCAGTTCTGAGAACTGGGATGTTCCCTAAGGGAGCCATCCTGGTACGTGACCATCCCCATTGCATTACTACTGTAGCTGCACCAGGTGATGCTTGCAGTAGGAATGCTACTAGACTGATTTTAGTTCTAAGAATCTTTTGTATGACATCTCTGTTTTCTGCAATGGATTATCAGGATTTTCTGTGAAGTAAACAAAGCAACAAGTAGAAACAACCAAGTCACACGGAAATCCAAACCTACACTGAATGCGGTGGTTGCATCTTTCCCATGGAGTCAAACCTCTAGGAAAATTTAACATTTTCTTCTAACTGATCTTAGGGCTTTCTTGGTATTTTTAACCTTTTTTGGCAAGTCATGTTGCTCTTTGAGCCTTTACAGTAATTTGGTAGCTACTCTCAGATATAGTGAAGAGAGTATCAGCAGCATCTCATATTTTCATGCAGTTTAGTGGCTATGTCTGTGTGAACATTTGGATACAGGTGCTTGATGAAGATGTGTGTGAGGAGCGAGTATTTGCCTTTGCTATATGCTAAAGGAAATACTTAGTATGTAAGACCTGACCCAAATACTTTCAGTATATTTCAGTGTTAACTTAGATGATCTGGTCAGTATGAGAAAAGGACTTTGTATGATTATTTCTTTACTTATTAATTATTGGTTTGCAACTCTTTTCAGTTTTGGGAGAGGACTGTCCAGCATATACTGGTTATTTTGGCGAAGTACAACTTGCACAACCCTGTCCTCATTTCTGCTGTGGAACTTGTCTGAATCGATACTGCTGCTCTAATGTATTACTAAAATTTGATGAACAAAAACTCCAGTGCAATCAGCTTACTGAAAGGTATGAGGCAAACTGAATGTATACAACACGTAATTCTGTCATCAAATGACAAAGACACACTGTTTAATGGGTAAATCTTCCTAAAGGATCTTTCTCCTCTATATATCTATCAGGGATCAATGTTAATGCTTGTTACTTACTTGTGAAATGGGAACAATGAGCTGGATAAATTAATGCATGAATTAATGTGTGTCTTCTTGATAATTTTCAAATAAATACACTCCATTTAATTTTTCTAAGGATATCTGACATAAAAGACCCTGTGGAAGCTTTAAAGAAGATCAATGAGAAATTGAAGGAATTCCGTGAATCGCCGTCCAACAGCTGGTTGGGATGAAGCTTTAATATGCATTTTTTTGCCTTGGTGGGAGGGCTTCAAGGCCTGATACAATATGCATTGATGTTTTTTAAAATGATTGTCACTGTCAGTATTACTATATCATATGGAAAGTCCTTGTTATTGAAAATTTAACTTCACACTTGAATGCTGCACACGAAATGCTGCAGGACACCAGAGAGGTACCACTGGTACCTGCTCCAGATGGAGGATGTTACCAAATGAAAGGCATCCCAAAGGAGCAGAGAGGACACACTCTAAAACACCTGTTGCTGAGTTCTGACTGTAGTCACAGAGCAGATAATGTGGAAAATTGCCAGCCTTGCTGTGGAGAATCATTGAGGCTGGTTGAGCACAAACCTGAGCTGAGCCACTTGCTTATCTTGCACTTGGCTCAGGCAGGACTTAACTACTGAAGGATGTCTGGGGTGAAACACTGGCCTGAACTTGATGTTGTCTCTGTGAAGCACAGAAGAGCACCCACATCTCTGCAGGGAAAGCAAACATCACTCCCCTTTACCCAGGCATAAGAGGCCTTGTTCAAAGTACAAATCTGGTCCTCGGAGGCCTTGATGATGTGCAGTTGTAGTGGGAGCAAAGACTGTCAGCCTTTAGCCAGATGGAGGAGGGACTGACACTGAAATGTCACATTTCTGTTCTGCCTTTGGTTCAGTTTGACTGAAGGTAACAGAAACGCTCATAAAATTGGTGTTTGATTTTCTCCATGTAGAGGATGAGGATATGACCCCACTTTATGGACAAATTGCTGTATTTGCTCCTCTCTCCTCTTCAAAGCAGGGATGCCTGTGTCAGTATACCTGGGTGAAACTAAGCTTAATTAATGGTGAAGGTGAGCTTAGTAAAAGCTAAATTTGTTGATATTTGTTGTTAATCAATGACTAACTTTAGTTACCTAGGGCTAATGCAGTAAATGCATTTATCCACAGCTGCTCCAAATCTGTGTATGGTCTATTTGATTTTGGATTTTGCAAAACTTCCTTGGAACGGTGCTGTCAGGCAAATGTCAATTCCATACTTTTAGCACCACAGGCAACAAAGAAAGTCTCTCTTTTTAGTGTACTTTACTTTTCATAAGCACTTGAAACTTATCTAGGTAACTTGAATAAGTCATAAATTCAATTTTTTGAGATGAATTCTCTTGTTACAGGATGTCTGATTCACAGATTTTTCAGGATCCTGATGATTTCCTCTATTCTGCTGGCTCCAGGTAAGCCATGCAAGCTTTTAAAATGGGATTTGTATAGAGGTTCTTCATTGTGTAATCAGGACATGTGGACTTGGCAGTGCTGGGTTAACAGTTGGACTCAGTGATCTTAAAAGTCTTTTCCAGCCTTAACAATTCCGTGATTCTGTGCTGCTAGAACACAAAAATAGAAAAACTACTTTGTGTGTTAAGTGTGGAGCACTCAAAATCTGTGTACATGTTGGAAGAAGAAGAGACATGAAGGAGAGGCTGGATGTTGCTATTTAGGCCGTAGCAGGCTCTGTATATAATGATGTATATCCTCCCTACTGAACAGGAGGTTGAAGCATTAGCACAGAATCACAGAACAGTTGGGGTTGGAAGGGACCTCTGGAGGTCCATTCCAACCCCCTGCCAAGGCAGGGTCACCTGGAGCAGCTGACACAGGAACGTGTTCAGGTGTGAGTGGAATGTTTGCAGAGAGGAGACCCCATGCACTCCCTGAGCAGCCTCTTCCCATACTCTGCCATTCTTAGCATAAAGAAGTTCGTCCTCATGATGAGGTGGAACATCCTCTGTTTTAGCTTATGGCCATTACTCTGTGCTTTGTACTCTTAGAAAATCCATAGTGGCTCTGGAAGAAAATCTGTTTTTGTTTGAAGTGTCCTCCTTGGTGTTCTAGCATCTTTTGCAGTTAGTTTTTATCAATATTTCTCCATCTGTTTTAATCTTGGGAAGAAGTAAATTCCTTTACGCCTATATTGGTGATGACAGGAGTGATGCTGTAAAAACGTGTCAGTGTTTCACGCTGCAGAAGATGATGAAGAGAGGGCAGAGTTTAATCACAGAATGTTACAGGGTTGGAAAGGATGTTAAGGATGATCTATTCCCAGCCTTCCCCTGTCATGGCCAGGGATATGTCCCACTTAGTGAAGGCCCATCCAACCTGGCCTTGAACACACCAGGATTGAAACGTCCACAGCTTCCTTGGCAACCTGTTCTAGTGCATCACCACCCTCACGGTAAAAACGATCTTCCTAATATTCAACCTAGATTTTCCTTCTTTCAATTTGTACCCATTACTCCCTGTCCTGTCACTCCAGTTCCTGACAAAAAGCCCCTCTGCAGTTCCCCGTAGCCCCTTCAGACCCTGGAAAGTGCTGAGATGTCCACACAGCCTTCTCTTGTCCAGGCTGAACAGCCCCAACTCTCCCAGCCTGTCTCCTTAGGGGAGGTGCTCCAGCCCTCTTATCAACATCCTGCCTTCCCCTGGACGCGCTCCAGCACTATCGTGTCCTTATGCTGGGACATAGGCCCGAGCTGCAGTGCCGCTGGGCGCTGGCCGATGGATGTCTCAGCGTAGGTTTGGGCGATGGGATCGCGGCAGCGGCGCCGGGGCTCTCCTTTAAAAGGGGCAGTGCGGGCGCCGTGACGTGCGCGGGGCCGGGCGGCGAGCGCGGGGCCGGGCGGCGAGCGCGGGGCGAGCGGCGGCGGCGAGCATGGGGTAAGCGGCGGGGCTCGGGGGATCGGGACGGGACCCTGACAGCTGCAGGGGGAACCCGCACGGCATTCCCGGTACCTCCGGTGGAGCGGGCTCGGTACCGGCTGCGAGCGGGAGCGGCGGGCGGGGGTCGGGGCCGTGCGCCCTCCCCGCACAGCCGGGCGGAGCCCTCGCGCTCTGTAAGCCCAGGCACATATTTTCCTGCGGGGAAGGAAGGAGCCGTGCTAAAAGCAGTAGGCATTGCCGTGGTGGTATGAAGGGATATCTTGGAGATTTTGACGAGGTCTCTTCCACAAGGAGAAGGATTTGATGTAACAAATATTTTGGAAGAGGGATTCCGCTTCTCAGCTAGGCTGATCTGTCTTCAGACATGTGGTTCCAGTACAGCAGGCGTGAGCCTTATCTTGAAGTCAGGGCTTGCTCTTTGTAAATGACAGAAAAAAACCCAACATTTAGGAAGGAGCAGTTATATTGTTTTAATTACCTTTGTTTTCAGCTATGGAATGTCTAAAAAGAGAACTGTGGTGCCTCAGCTTGAGAAGATGGGTGACTTCTCTTTTCCCTTTCAATTGTGTTGCAGCTTTGAAAAATTGGTGTTGTGCAAAGGCCTAAAATTGACATCAAGCTTGCCTTCTTGTTAGGCAATTTTATTAGAAACGTGGTAATTACTCACAGGAATACTGTCCTATAAAAGTCACCTGTTTATGAACTCTGGAGGAAAACCACATCTAAGAACTTTTCAAAATGACTTATGACTGAGCTGTCCCGTGTAGGGTGTTTCAATACTGGGAATTGCAGTGAGTGGCACCATCTGTGACTGCAGCCAGTGGGACACCAAGTAGGTTTTTGTTTAGTTACAGACAGTGCCTGGGTTTTTGTGTTGTGTGTGTTGAGGTTTCTGTGTTTTTTTTTAACCAAGCAGTAAGCTGTATTCTTCTGTAAGAGCTGTTCTGCTACCTTGCCTGCAAGGTATATTCCACCCTCCCTCTCTGTGCCAATTTCTTTTAAAAGGCAAGTTTTGCCTTGCTTCTTGATGACTATGTTAGTTAAATTCTTCACCGTGTAGAGAGAAGGGCTGATGTCAGTTGGAATATTTCTATCTCCAACAAGATGCACATTCTCTTTGAACAGTTTGTAACATGACAGGAAGCAACAAAGGTTAACTTCCTTTAGTGCCCTATTCTTTCTAAGAAGTTGTAAATATTACCTTTGACACTGCCCTTGAGAAGGAGGTGATGGTTTCCTGGCATTGTGGGTCAGAAAGTGTTTAGCTCCCCATTCTTGCATCAGGCTGATTTCTAGATGGAGTTACCACCCTGGCACAGTGCTCACAAATCCTTTCTTTTTAAGAGAGCTTGCCCTTTCTGGGGGCTAGTTACAAACTACCTGTGGACTTGCCACTGGACTCTGTGGTCTGGGTGTTTCTTCTGCCTTCTTGGAGATCCAGCCACAATTACACCCTAATTCTAAGGACAGGGTTAGGCAATGTTTGTTCTTTGTTGTCTTGTCTGGCTGAGCAATTTCTAGTTTGCTTGTACTTTCGCTTTTTTGCTGTGTTTATTCTGAGGTCTTTTGCAGAACTGCAAGCAAAGCACCAGTTTTCAGTAGGTTTCTTTTTAGTATCATCTTTCAATATTAATGTCTTTCAGTATTTATATTGAAAAACAGGTGCTGTTGAGGCAGGCATGCCCTTTGGGACAATCCTTTTAAGTGTATTTCACATTCAAGCAGTCCATACCCTGTAATCTTTGGACATTTTAAGGACAATAAATTGCACTCCATTGGAGTGTTTTAATAATGCACTTTTAAGTACTTGAAAGCATTTTGCTTCCCAGAATGCTGCATTTGGAAGCAAATGTAAGCATTCTAGGAAAAGTATAAAAGTTGGGGTTAACTCAGATTCAGGCTTTGTTGATTTGTCCTTAAAGATCATGTGGAGTTTTAGGTCAGGGTGTAGGCATAGTTTTCGTACTGCTGAACTTGATAAATTTGTCACCAATTTTCCTTGATCATAAATGATTTCTCCAATTTTTGCTGCTGGTGAATGTGTTGTGGCAAAGCTTTACTACTGGAAGGTGTTTCAGGATTTTTTTCCCCCCATTTTAATTGGATTACTGAGCTTTTTCCTGCTTTACTCTGGTTTCAAAGGTGAATTGTGAGCTGTAAGGTTAATTTAGTTGCTTTCCCCTTTTCATTCTATTGTACATAGTATTCTCATTTTAAGGAACTGTACAAAAAGAGCACTGATTCACCAGGACAGAACTTGTTATTATTTTCATTGGTAATGTGATTACTTAGCCTTGGTATGCCAATTTTCCAATAGTGACCCTTAGTGGAAAAGGAAATTACATGACTCATATCCACAATTCAACTAATTGTGAAGTATTTGAATGTTTAAGGAGGTGGAGCAATTCAAAACATCTGTATCAGAGTTACAGAAGAAAATAATATAGTTGGGGCAGCTGATACCAGGCTTTCTAATTGGAAACAAAACCTCACATTGTCTGTGTACACAGTTAATTTGCCTCTTTCTGAAATAATTTCTGCCTGTAAGTTACAGCAGATTGTGTAACAGGTACAGTAATGCTTGATGCAAGGCTGTTCCTCCTTACGAGAAGGGGGAGGCAGAATGTCCATCTTCCTGGAAAGCTTTGGCCAGCAGAGACAGACCAGGCTTGTTGGATGGGGATGTGCTCATTTGGGGTTTGGGCCATGTGTTGTCTTGTGGCTTCCTTGCCCTTTTGTGATACGGAGAAAATCCATGTAATTCTGCCTGCCTTTGGCTGAAATGTGGCATCTGCAATAGGCTGCTACAGGCTAACCTGGCAAAACCAACGTATTTCTAACAGTGAAAGATATGATTATCCTCATTTGCTTTGTCTGGTTTAGATATTTTCAAGCCCATATTTTCTCCTCAGACAAGGTCAAAAATACTGTGATCCTGAACTATGCCCCATTTCTCCTCCTCTGCTATCACTGGCAGGGGCTCCAGTTTACTCTTTCTGGTGTATTTGGATACTCCAGGATCTGTAATAGGTTGCCAGTGGTAAGAAAGTAAATCATGAAGATAATTACAGAATCACAGAATTGTTAGGGTTGGAAGGAACCTCTGGAGACCATCTAGTCCAACACCCTTCCAAGGCAGGGTCACCTGGAGCAGGTTACACAGGAATGTGTCCAGGTGGGTGTGGAATGTTTCTAAAGAGAAGACTCCATGAAAATTGGAAAAAAGCTTCTAGAAATGTAAGCAGTCTCTGTTTCACGAGCAGAGGATTTCTTTTCCAGTGCTGGTCCTTGATATTTTCTGTAATAAATGAGTTAAACTGCATACAGCCTGTTCTGTGAGGCTTGTGTTCAGGCACAGGCTAATTCCTCCAAGGAATGTAAGCTTCTTGCCTGGAAACAACTGAGACTTGGATTTGAAGCTACTGAAAAAAAGTGTTCTATGCTTTTTACTAGCCTGAAGAGTAAACATCAGCTTGCACAGTTAGCAGTGCTGACTTGCATTGCAGAGCATTTGGTT